GTGCATCATAACTGAAAGACACACGCGTTACAAAAATCCCCGACTTTGGAAAAATGCACTTTTGCTCTGTTGCGATACAGTTATCAGGTGGATTATTCTTGGAGGCTGGGGGCGGCGGCGCGCCGCTTTCCAGAAAGAGAGCTTTCTGGCCGGGCTTGTGCATCAGTCAAAGCACGGTCCATTACGCAGGGCTAAGCGATAGCGGCTAATGGCTGAAAACCGGAGATGAATGGCCGGCTGAAAAGCTAGCCCCGCTCACTGAAAACCATCGACCTAAAACTCCCCAATGACGATATGTTAATTTGATGGGAAAATGGTATTAACTGCTCGGAAATACAAAAACCGGCGACTCTAGAAAGATTCGCACTAGCGATTAAATCTAAGGCTAATGCCTTGAAATAGAACGGTACAAGTGTCACCGATTCCGAAAAATATTGCCCAAGAGTCGTAAATCTGCCAATAGCAATATTTCTCCCCGAACGAAATTCGCACAGAAAATTAACCCATAATCAACTTTAAATCCAATAACGGCTTTTAAAAAAGTTCAAAGTAGAGTAAATGAGGGACAACATAGTTTTTCACCAGGAAAATAATTTCGAAAATCTAAATTTAAAATGTTCACGTGTCCCTGACTATTCAACATAATCACGTTTTATACTACGTTAAATTAGCATTTAACGTCATTGCATATATGTACAGGAGAATATATCACATTTTATTCATTTTATCAAATTTTGTTTTATTGCTCTTCCCATTTTTAACCTAACAACCCGATTTCTTACACTTAATTACTCCACTTTGAGCCATAAATTAAAATAATGATTAACTGTGTATTCTATATTTAATGTATTATTAAAATTAATGAATTATCCATTGTTAATAACGCATTTGCATTTTGCTAACACTTTTTTTCCAAAAATTTGCTTCATATAGCACAGTCGATGACAATTATTAGCTATTGTGTTCAGACTTAAGTAATCTCCTGATTATTGAAATTACTTTACTGAAACTGATGAAATATATTGTTAGGTTGCATTCTGAACAAGTATAAATAATCATAATTTTTGTCTTTCTGGTTTAAAAAAATTATAATTAATCATTTTTAATAATTATAAGTAACTTTCAAAAAAAATACTTCTAAGTTATAATATGGTTATGAATACCTATCTACAAATAGTTAAATACATCACACACAGAATTTAACTTTGTAAAAAATTCATCGGAATTGAATATAGTTTGAAAAGTGAGGTTGTAATAGGTTTTTTGCATCATAAAGTAAATAATTAACTAAAAAAGTATACATCTATAATGAGAGAAGATGTATTTCACCAAACATGACATTAAAGTCTAATTACGCGACTCCAAGTCCAATATTAAACAAGGAATTCAAAAACGATCATTTTCTGCTTAGCCATAAATTTCGATTTGATTTCAATCTAAGAATCTAGTCAAGTAAGTACCTTCTTCTCATTCATAATTATTATTTCTAATAAAATTACTTTTAAAAACCATACAAGGATATATTTTTTTTTTAATTAAACTGTAGGTAAAACAACATCCCATTATATTACAGTGGAACCTCGTTAAGTCAAAGTACATACCTATTGCCAAAAAAAATATTCGAGTTATCGAAGTTTCGAAATATAGGTAGAATATTGCTTTTTTATAAATTGCTTTAATTAAAAAAAATTGTAAATTAACTTCTTATAGGATAAAATTTATAAACAAACAAATTCTTAAAGTCCAACAAAAATTTAAAATTGCATATTGCATATGTAGATATAGATTTTATTCTTCGAGGTGACGAAAAAGTCTGTTACTGAGGACTGTCTGATACATTTTTTCTTTTTTTCGAAAAAGCTGTCACAAGTCTTAAATTTTGTGGAAACAAGCGGAAAACACTTAAATACTGCAAAAATTGATCCAACGTACATTATGTAAAATTGCAGTAATTTAAAAAAAACGACTTATGGAGGTTTACAGTTGACGTCGACTTAAAGAGGTTCGAGATATCGATTACATTAATTTCTATTAGTAAATATTAGGGACCAGCCAATCACTTCGACTTATCGAAATTTCAAGATATAGAGGTTCGATTAGCGAGGTTCTACTGTAGTTTAATTTCTACTTATTAACAGTTTCAAAATCGGATGTTATTATGTATCTACACTTTTGTTTGACCGTTCTACCTACAAATACAAAATAATTTAAAAGTGTCATCACTTGGGTGGTGATAAAAGACATCATCTAAGTTAAAAGTTCCCATGACAAAATAATTGTTTGAGCATTTTTCACAAAAATAACTTCAAAGATTAGATTTTGTATAAAGTTTTTAACAGTTCCGATTATGTAACCTTGAATTTAGTTAGCGGAAACGGGAGATCTTGTAAGACTGAACAGATACCTGTTGAAAAAATCACCAATTTGTGTCTTATGCTGTAAAAAAACATTTAACAAATTAGCAAATTTAACAATAAATAATCTAGTAACATCGGAAACAAAAAAACTAAGATGCCTACATGATAATATGAAGATTAAGAGTTTTATTTTGTTCAAAAAAAAAAAAAAAAAAAAAACGTTGAAACAAATCTGAATTCATTATTATGCTTAGTTGAAAGTCTTCTATCACCATTCGATAGTTGGTTCGACATTTTTGAATCACCTTGTATGAAATACGAAAACCGAAAAATTGAATCAACTTTTAAATTAATCCAGAATAGTTCTTATATTAAATGAGTGTAATATAACAAAAATGAATCTGAAATAAGGTGGTGAAACTAAAATAATGTAGAAATCTTTATGTTGACAAAATTAAACTCAATTAGAACATCTTTAATTTTTGAATGGAAATAAAGTTTGCAGCAGTAAAGTCATGTAGCAATAAAAGCGAAAGGAGTCGGTGTTTAATTTGAAGATAGGGGCGGAAGATTCTGTCTGCGATCGGAAGCAATTGTTCGGGAGCGTCTTCCTAGCAGAAGTAGATCTGTTGATAACGAGCTCCTTCATAACATTTGATTCGAGTTTATGGTATCGCTAGCATAACTGTGATCACCTCGTTTACTTTACGATCTGTATCTGTTGGGTGTTCAGTGCGGCCACTACATTTGCGCTAGATGAGTACGTCCACGATACTTTTATAGTACAATAACATTCGCCAAAGTGGGCCGTTAAATTGTTTTATAGCCGGGAAAGCCGACCGGCAACAGATGGAGCCGTCACACGTGCCGCCATCTAGCAGACGGTAGCCGTACCAAATCGCTGGGTAAAAACTCTTAAGAATTGATCGTAAAATATTTTACAATTCAGCTTTAATGCATCGCTAATGTAAGTCTTTACGACCGAACAAAACAAGTCAAAAAAATAAATTAGATTTATTTTTAAGCCGCGACTGATTGGTTCATAGGAGAACGATGTTTCTTGCGCTGCTAATAAATCCGAGCGTTTCGCTAATGAATTGCGCTATCTCTTCAGATTGTTCTGATGTGGGTCTTTTTTATCAAGGCTTTCATAAAGATTCCATCGTTATATGCGAATGTCCGCATGCTTTTTGCTAGCTCGGCTTCTTGTTAAGGAAGCCTGTAAAATTATAATAGAGATCTTACAGTTTTTGCTCTTGCTCGAGATGCATCCAATACGCGCTGAGTTATGTTACGTGTGTAAATTTATCGGCGGTGTGCCTTTTTATATCGACACGATATTTATGCAACCGTGGCGTACTAAAACAGAATACCAAACGGCAGAAGCTCATCTTTCCACTTCGACGCTCGATTTTTTACAATACTAAACTTCATCCATTATTGATAACAATCGAAATTTAGGACTGAATCTATCAATTCAAAAAGATTGACATTCAAACACACCAACCTCAGACTCGTCAACAGACAAAAGGAATTGACAAAAAAACTAACCAAACACAAAACACCAAATCATCCACAGCAAATCTCTATCGTACAACAATCAAGCAACTCAAAAAATTAAATAAAATAATTAAAAAAAACCTTATTTACTAATTACAATAATATGATACCGAAATATTGATTTTTGTTATCTATGATCGATGACTTCTTTTTGACTTCGAATTTTGAACGCAAGTATGCGAGACATTGGTCAGTCTAGTCGCGTCTAGTCGCAATTCTTGATAATGTCTTGAGTCTTGTGTATCAATTAATAAAGTATGTAACATAATTATGAAATGCTTCTAACGCTCTTTTTGCGGCAGTTTACAGTCCATTCCCAGTAGTTGCGCATATCTTATAGCCTACACGTAATTGCATCTAATTTTATAGACTCAAACTCATCAATAAGGCATAAAATGATGTTTTAGTTTATTTACTCTCCAACATTTCCATTTTTAATTATAGCATGTATGCTACCTCAAAATCACAAAAATTTACATTTACGAAAATCGCATCCTCCATATTTACCGCACGATACGTTCCCCTTAATAACAGACTTCTCGAGAATGATTTAATGCGCACCGAAACGTTGTGGTTAGTTATTTCACGATAATCGGATCTGGGGCTCTACCTGCCCACCATTTAACGGGTTGTGGGTCGACTAATGACGATTGGCCCAACATCGGAGCGAATAGCATAACTCGCTGAGGATATTTCGTGATCGGAAATAATTATATTCGCGGCTAAAATGGATAGCGTAGCGAATACTTGAACAGGCCTCCCCCTGTCCCCTCATCGAGGTAATAATGTCTACCATCAGCACATACTCAACCCGACGTTTTTTCCACTGTAATTTAAAGTTTACCGTAATAACACTTTTTAACTCTTGAACGTTTTTCGTTCCCATCAATTTGTATTAACTTGATTTAATATTCCATACGATAACTATCACGATGTAATTTAAAGCGAGCTAGTCTGCAATTTGACTGTTTATCCTGTGACTGAACATCTACGTTACACATCTGTGTCATTAAAATTCAATGATTCTAGATAGAGATAAACAACCTATTATTATTGAATGGGATTGGAATCAAAACACTGGCAAAAATAATTATTATTTTATTGTCAAAGATCTTTTAAAAAAGTCAAATATATTTGTACATTCTTCTTTACATAAACTTAAAGCATCCTTGTATTGTTCAACACTAAAAGAACCACTAGTATGTGATGCAATTATATTTTTTTCAACACTTTCGAAAACAAACATAAACATTGCTTTAACCTCATCTTCATTTAGAGGTGGAGTAAATAGTAAATTTTCTTCTTTGTCTATGAAACACGTCACTGCAGCAAACATACATTTCATGTCGATCCCTGAGTCAAGCAATGTCAAACATGCGGCATTTAAGGCACACGAAATCAACTAAAAACTCTCATTTAAATAAATTCCCAAAGTAAAAATATTGCTACCTGTCCGTTATTTTGCATTTCTTGTATAACAACAACAACAGAAGTTCGAGGATACAGAGTTGATGCAATTGCAGCCTCACATACATTTCTAATGATTGATTCATTTAACCTATCTTTTACACCTAAAATAACTCGATTTAAGTCGCTGAAAACACAGACGTAATAAATTAAATTAACCTGGCAATCCAGACTTTGGCCTAAAATGAGCCTCGACACAAGCTTTTTCGACTAATGCCTTGTTTGCCTTGCTCTCAACAGGGCCATACACACCTGCTATGACAGTTGTCTCATCTAAAAATTTTACCAAATTTATTTTATAGCAAAAATTCGGATACTGTACCTTGTGAAAATAACACAGAGCCATCAGGCCTGCTCAAAACTCCTAATTTACAATTGGATTTTAATTTACTCATGTTACAAAAAAAGTGAGGTTAATTTGAAAAATGTCTAGTGAGTCAGCTTAGCCAATACACAACACCCAAAGTTACTAACTTTTTAAAATTATTCTTGTTACTTTAAAAATAAACATTTACAGTTAAACCACATGATTAAGGTTTAATTAAACAACAAATAGCATAAAAATAATGTATTTTATCAAATAAACTCACTGTTAACATAAAAAATAGATTAAAGATGCTCAAATATAAGAAATTAGCAAGTAGTTAAATTCACTCAGTTACGGTTTTTTCAGGGCTTGGACTACCAATTAAATGAAATGACAACCACCAAGAAAGCACTGGCTGTACTGCTGCCACAAACAACAAAAAGTATAACCTCCGCTTATTGCCTGTAGGTGGGACAACATCCCCATAGTAACTTGTGGGTTGAGTATTACTTTCAACAAGTACTTGTGCTTTCAATGTTCTTACCAAGAAAAATGCTAATGCAAAATTCACGTATACCAAACAACAATAGTAAGCCGTTTTTGCTCCTATTAAGCTTAGTAAAATACTAATAATAATCCCCACAAATTTATAACCACTGAAAGCTAACAAGTCGAGTGTTCGAAGTGTTGTTTTGATATTGGCAATGTAAAGAGTGCAACTGTACAAAGCCAATTCAACAACAAACCAAGCTAAAGCTGATGAAGCTAAAATCCCAATTTGCTCAGGAGTAAATTTTTGTTGCATGCCTAAAACCATCCCCGCCACTAAAACGTAAGTTACATAAGCCATTGTTGGAATATATAAATCTGGAGCATTTATCTCAAATCTAGGTTGGACTGGACCATCTTGTTCATACTTAACAGACCAATCCTGAAAAAAATTGTTACACAAGGCAATTAACTTAATCCAAAACCACCTTGTGTGTAAAAGGGAAGAACAGTAACATCAACTTTGACAACACATACTTTGTGTCAACCGCAAAGTAGTATTTCAAGCTATTTACGGGAACGTACTTTTCTACTTCTTGTTTTATCATTGACTTTCCTGTATTTGCCAACTGTAAAAAAATATTACGAAAAGATGAGACAATAAGTGACACCAACCTGTTGCCCATACTGCAAAGCCATGTCTTGGACAATTGGCTGCCCAAAAACACCCCCAAATTGCGGATTGGGTGGGGGCTGTGCATTTGGGTAAGGTGGAGCGGGATTAAAACCATACATTTGAGGGTTACTTGGCGGCACTCCATAATTTTGACTTGAATTAAATGACTGGTTAGCAAAATCTGCAAGTCACGGTTAAGTAAAAGCACTAAAAGACATACAAACTACTTTGTTGATACGGGTTTGGGGCAGGGCTTTCAGGCCCCAAATTTGGGTACAAATTGCTCTGCATTCCTTGTGTGGGATCGTAAGGTGTGTACCCCATTGCATTTACGTCACTGACTCTTTTAACTTTCCGGATATGGGCTGAAATAATACAAGTTTGGTAAAGTAAGGTTATGTCATGAACACCGATTCAAAGAGCAGTAAATTAATTACCTGGCCGGTTTCCTGTATTCGCGTTGTAATTCATATTAATAATTTAGTTAAATGCTACTATAAAAATCCTTAAATAAGTTGATTTTGGATGAATAAACACAGAGAGACACGTCACTTAGACATCTGTCATTCTAATTTTTTCACATGACCAAAAGTTCCTCTCAACTTGTTTATACACCCAACTACCGGTTACAGTCTAGGATATTGGCATAAAAAGGATCAATTGTTATAATACATTTATGAAACAGTTCGTTGCAGCATAATTTGTTTTGAGATTTACAATTTCCTTCTGAAAATGACAGTTAGTGTTTTCAGCTATTGACCGCTAGAGGTAGATTTAGCGCTGCTCTATCTTTCGTCTCATTTTGATTATATTGCGTCTCTCTCGTTGAGTCATTCGGTTGCATCGCAACTGTCACTTTGCGGTCTTTGTACTCGTTTGACAGTTCGTGATGCAGTTGACATAAACCGTGCAAAAAATACGTCGAGTGATGATCGTGGGCAATGTTGGAGCGGCCGAGACTGTCTCGGCTCTAAGAATCGATCATCGGGGCTCCTGATTTAGTCGACTACGCCCCCGCAAGAATGAGTGAAAAACCGAATAAAAATGTGAGCGGGGCGGGTGCCTCCGCGCCCAACAAAATGAGGCTTTATGCGACTTGGGTTGACAGGACTCCCTCAAATTGTATTCCGAGGTCAGTAAGGCGCAAATTACCGGTGTCCTTTTTTATAATGCTAATTCCAGGCTTTGTTCATTGACGTTGACAAGGCTGGTTGTTTTAAAGCCTTTAGGATCAGATCTAGCCTCTATTTCTATTGCCGTTAAAATGCAATCGAGCAAACGCACATTACGCTCCAATGAGCTGATTTTGCCACCGAACGGTCTATTGGACACGCCGTTGGAATTAACTTTTTGTCTCCAATATCCGCATTTTTTGAAACGGGAAGGAAATAAGCTGCATATTTTGCTCCAGAGGCGAAAACGGTACAAAAATCGCACAATGCTAGGCTTCAAAACACTGGCAGAAGGGATTATCAGAATGGACCAAGTAAGTCATTACGCACTGCAAAAAAATAGAGAAAAAACTGTTTGGAGATGCTCTGCTTTCGTGTAAATATTTTTCGATTTTCCAGTAAATAAGTTCTGTGATTCATCCTCTACCATGGCTTTTTTATGGTAAACATGTGTGGTCAATTGGTAATTAAACTGTAAAAGTACAAATTAAAAAAGAATGCATAAACAGCTTTGGTGCGCATATTTAAAACCAATGTCACGAAATTACAATAAGGAAGATAACGCAGCGATTTACATTAAAATAAATTATGCAAATCAGTGTATCGAAAGTGAATATTTCAATATTTCAATTTACGCTTTGAAAAATACCACGAATACACGTTGCTATTGTATTCATTATTGCCTCGATTACCTACTTAATCTTACGCAACGGTGAAGTAATGAAGTCAATTAATTTTATTTTCCGTTCAATTAAGCCTTCAAGACTCTTACTAGATTGTAATCTATGAAGAATATTATCTTTAAATAAATTGTTACAATTTTTGTGGAAAAATAAACAAACGTAGGAAATATCAGAGCTTGAAAATTGTCGGTAATAACGTAATTTAATAATGAGAAAATTGGAAAAGGAAACGTTTCAGGGAAAATAAAAAACCTCATTAATAAACGATGCGTAACGATCAGTAATTAACTAAAAAACGTTTGTATTTTCACTTACGTCTAAACATATCCAAGACAGGAAATTTGATTAAAAATGAAATTATAAATTATGCAATTGTTTTTCAACATATTAATTATTATTATTCTGTTTATTTGAAATGTAATTGAAAGACATTATTTTATAAAAGTCATTGCTTTATAATTCCCCAGAAAAACGTCTAATTAACTAATAATTAAGTGCTAGCAGGTCATTGCTTTGCTCTATTTCTAATGATGTTTTTTTATTGAACAAACAATAGTGAGAACAGAACAATGTTTATTTTATTTATAGTTACAAGTCCATGATCTGTTTAGATTACGACTTACGATAAGCCGATACGTGAATAAACAATATTAGATATCAAAAATAGAATGTGGAAATGGATTAAATAGAATTTCGTAATTAGTTTTGAAGTTTTTTTATTTTCCCCCTTATCCAGGTTTTTATTAAAATAATTTTACAAATTTTATTTCAAGTACCATCAACATCCTCCTGTAACAAAAATCTTTGGTAGTGCGAAATAAAAGACATCAAAATAAATCTGTTTTTGCAAAAACCACATAAAAATTAACATTCATTATAATCAGTGAATAAAAAACATTATTTTACAGTTATAAGGGAATGTTTAAGGGAATTGCGATACGAATTGGCCGGTATACTGGACGTTTTTATACTTACGTCCAGAAAAAACGTTGAAATATTTCAGGGGGTGGTTCCTTACGTCAAAATAAATATTAATTTATTAAATAAATAATAATTTAATATTAGTGCTTAAAAATGCATATTTTCTTGCATCAGTCAGATTAACATAATTAATCGGTCAGTTTGATGAAGCAATTCAAAAATTTGGGAATACATTAAGCTGTAAAAGAAACACATTATTCTTCCCATCAATATTTGTGAATACTCGGTAGATTTACTAAGACAACAAAAAAAGTTACTTTTTTCTCTTTTCTTTAAATCATTGTTGAGAGACATTTTTTTTTAAATCGTGACAACATCTTGGAGGAAATTTATTTCAGTTTTTTAAACTATCCTTACATTCTCTGAACGGTCATTGGTTGCTGAGATTTCTATGATCAAAGAAAAAAAATCCTTTTTCATTAAAAGTCAAATATCTCAGCGACAAATTGACGTAAAGAGAACATAAAGAAAGCATATTAAAGCTAAATGAACAAGCTATCCCGCCCCTGCATTGATTTAGCTAATAAAAAATTCCTCAAGTCCGTGGACCAACAAAAAGGATAAAAAAATCACAAATTTTTTTCTCGCGCCATTTCTAGGATTGCGTAATAACCGTAACTCAGAAGATTTTTTGACAAAAGAACTCAAGACTAAAAACTTGAAGCTTCAAAATGGATTTTTTTACGATCATTTTTCATTGAGGTTACAATCTTTCAAAATTCACCAGAGAATTTAAGAAATTTTTTTGTTCACGCAATTTTTTGGAATAGGTACTACCTATGAAAAAAGTTTATGTAGAATGTTTAGTCGTTTTGAAGTGTTTGAGATAATAAGAAATCTTTTTTCAAAGAGTTTTTCACTGAAAAGCTTGAAAAATGAAAATGGAAAAACGAAATAGAATAACATAAACGATGAATTTAACCCATTTTCTCGAAGGGAAAAATAGAATAATAGAAAGTTTAAGGCATCTTTGACATTAAAAGTGATTTTAAAGAGTGCAGTGTTACTACAACAAAAGATCAGAATAAATACGAAGTTCCAAATATTATTAAGAATTATTTATTATTATTATTATTTTTACTTTAAGCAAGAGTACATTATTTTGAATGGAGTTAGAGCCCCTTGAAGATGGCGGACAAAAAGCCTTTTTTTTCCATTATATCAGTGACCGATGGACTAAATTTATAAAAGTTAACATTTGGTAATTTTTTCGCGCTAAATCTATTCATGATATCCAAAATTGTGTACCCTAATTAGGGGGTCAATTTATTTAAGGCGTAGAATTCAGAATTCAAATTCAGATTTATTGGCAATTTTTTTTCAAAAATGATAAAATTTTTGTTTTTTTATATAAGGTCGAGTTATTAAGCATTTCCATACAAAGAATTTCTTCTTATTTTGACCTGTGATAACTGATAACATTGTTCGGGAAAAGTTCCTTTTTAACAAAAAAGTGGATGTTAGGTTCTGCAAAGGCAAATGGACATGGAGCTGGAGCTGCACCCCGAAGGAGGCGGCAAAGACAAAGAGAAGGGTCCCGTGGCGCGCTTAAACGTCTTACAACTGAGCTCGACTCCGGTCGACCAGGAGCACAAAACGGACCGCGAGCACGATTTCAGCGACGACGACGACGAAATCAGTTCTGGCGAAGAGGAAGTCGCCGATTTATCCGACAGTGAACCGATCCGAACAAAACTCCCTCACACTCGTCACAATCTCAAGCAACGTTTCGTCTCACTTTTGCGCCGCTTCAAGGTTCCGGACAGCGAAGGGGGCCGTGGCGCCGATTTGTCCAACCCCAGCGACATCCAAGCTCTCTTTCAAGAACTCGAATCGCTGAGCTGCGACGAAGACTCGGCCGGGGAACAAGACACCATGTCCATATCGAGCACGCCGAAGCCGAGTCTACGACCGTTTTTCAGCAGTAGCAAGAGTTTGTTGGATTCGAATCCGATGCAGTATAGCGAAACCGAGAAATTTATTGACGACAAAGCGTCCGGAAGTGACGGCAACGCGGATATTTTCACGGATCAGGAAGCGCAATCGGATCCGCAAACGGGGTCGCCGCCGAGAGAGCAAACGGCGACGTTGCGAGCGAAGTTATCGGGAGATAACGATTTCGCGAATTTGATGCAGGAGTTGAATGAGAGGAAGTCGAAGTTGTTTAGGTCGTCGGCGTCTTCCGGGAAAAAGAAAAACTCGTTGAGTATCAGTTCCGACGTTCCGGTGCCCGAAACTATTACGGTAAGTCAAGCAGAGTTTGAGATAGTTGTGTGAAGTGGGGTTACAGGCGCGGAAAATTTTCCTCGAGCAAGTTACAAGAGTACTTCCTCTGGAAGAAAATGTTCTCCCGGAAGCTGTGGTATTAATTACAGGCCCTGACAGTATTACTGGACCATTATCAGCACGTCTCACGCATCATCGGATTTTCCTACCATTATCATCAGTCGAAGTTAAAGCGGTATTGACTGCGGTTTTCAACAAAATTCATAAATAGTGAGTGAGTTACTAAAGAAATTTATTTAATTAAATGTGATTTTCAGTTGCAATAGCTGTGCCAAACCGGGCAGCTGTGTTAAATTAGTCCTGATTGGTGGAGACACTCTTCTTGGTTGGGTCATCAGACCTTATGTCGAACTTTTATCAAGTCGACCACCGGAATGGTTAAATTACACAAGAATTTATATAATTCCAGTCGGTTCTTGTGGAATTACAAAACAACTCAGTAACTTAGACCAAGGTTACGCTTCTTTGTTCCCTTCAGATCAGGAACTGAAAATCGATGAATTATCTGGGAGAATACAACGGTACTTATCAGTACCATCATCCGCCCCAGTTGGGCAACTACCTCTCAGCGAAGCGATGCTCACTTGTCAGGATGACTCCAGTCAACTCTTTATCCCTTTTGTTAACGTAAAAACTCCGAAATTTGTGTGAATTTTGAATTAATTTTCTTGTACTCAGGAGGTGCGCGTGGGTCCCGCCGAATCAGCATTATCAGTATCTGTGGATCTTGAAGATTTGATGTGTTCCAGTCCCCCTGCCCCCTCTCTAACCCCCCCATCATCACCCAATGTGCAAACGCGTGATTCGCCTTGGGAACCTCTCGAATTGCAATTAGATTATTGGCAAATCTCTAAAAGTACTGAACCTCAAGCCGCAAAGACTGACAAAACCAAACAAGACGGTAAAACTTCACTCAAAGGACTGTTCCGAGGTCTTCAAGCCTCGCCGGGACTCAACGTCACCATGCACTTGGCTACGAAAGAGAAAAAACAAAAAAGTATTTTTTTCTAATTTATTGTGCTAGTTTGTGATTGTTGGTTTGTAGTAATGAGACTGGGTAAGAAGAAGGAGAAAGAAAAGGATACTGAGCCTCGCAGTCAGACTGTGGAGGGTATTTCGAGGTTGATTTGTTCTGCGAAAGCGTCTCACAATACGCCGATGAAAGGTTGTGGTTTGGTTTTTTAGCGATTGGGTTTTAATTGATTTGTTCCAGTTTATGTGGACGGCGTGGAGTTCAACGGAGTTAAATTCTTCCAGTTGAGTTCAACTTGGCAAACGCACGTGAAACATTTGTCGGTGGCTTTGGTAGGAGTGCCATTGGCGAGTGCCGAAGTGAATTCGATGTAACATAAGATGACCTTCCCGTTTTTTAAATCCGCCGCTTTGCTTCCGTGTCTCGTTCCCGCGATGCATTCATCGCTTCTAGTCAAGGTCAAATCCATCGTAATCCAACCGTTGACAATACATCCAAATAAGGCTCAAAACTCTTGTTTGAAAAAAAAGAGAGGAAACTCACGTTAAGAATACTCCGTATATGTGATATAGTTTATAGTCGTCGTTATTAATATCGATAAATGCTTGAGATTTTTTCAGAAAAAATCAATACTTTTTTACATGCTAAGATTTAATCATTTTTTTAAGCACAGCAAGATTTTTTTGTGGCCAAACCACTTTTATATGATACAACGTATTCAGGTTTTACACATCATTAAAAGCGTTAAATTGCCGCCCACATTTAAACTTAGGGGAAATGGTGTGCAAAACCATCATATCAGCATTTTGCATAAATACCAAAGCGAGAATTTGTGTTATTTGACGGAAAGTTGTTAATATTAATGTGTAGGTTTCTAGCAGTCATTTTATTTGGTAAAGTGATTGTTGAGAATAGTTCCATGTCAAATCAAATCTTGTTGGGAATGTTGAAAGGATCTCACGTTGATTGTTGAACTGTGATGTGTGAACATAAGAAATTGATATAAATGAAAAACGCCGTGCGACTGTGATTTTAACGCAGCTCATTCCAACTTGTTAGTTCAGATGGATGTTCTCTCATTTTATCTCATTTGGAATGTGCAACAAGTTTTAGAACATCCGTCTTTAGGACATCAGTGTTTGATTGTAAATGATAGATTAGATTATCTGTTGTATAAATGCAATAATGTCTGGAATTAGTATTGTTTATATATAACTACATACATATAAATAAACATGAATATGTACTTTTATTATCATTTCCTTCATTTTTATACACATTTTTTAGTCAGGAGGTTGCTGCTCTGGCGATTCTTTTTGTTTTCGTACCGTTTCTGCGAGATACCTGAACCTCATCATACACTCTTCCTGAAAAAATTTCATGACAAACAAAAAAAAAAAAACAATAAAGAAAAAGTACCTTAGTCTTATTAGGGACACAGTCGGCAATTTTATCCCACCTTTCTGCACACCCCTTTGGGAACTTAGCCAAGGCTTCTTCCAGCGCCTTTTGCTGACTTTGACTCCATTTCTTGACATCATCACCACCATCGACTTCTTTCTTCGTCTTTTGCTTCACTTTCACTTGAATTGGTTCCTCCTCCTGCTCATTCGGTAGTTTATAACAATTTTCTTTCATCTTATTTGCCATGTAGGTAACTTCAGGAACTGATCTTCCCATTACTTCCGCTATAGTCTCCCATCTTCCAGAAGTACCACCTGGATATTTTTTCACTAGTTTAACTAATTCTGTCAAATCATCATCAGTCCATAATCCACCAGAACTAACAGGAGGCGGAGAGGAAACGTTTGATTCATTGGCAGAATTGTGGAATGTTGTTTCAAAGTTAGGCTTGTCGGGCAATTTGAAACCCTTATTGCGCTTACGCACTGTTTTAATCCTGACTGGAACCTCCTCGGGTTCTTCCGGAGGAGGCGGTTTTCTAACTTCTTCAATTTGTTGAACTACTACAGTTTTAATAAAACCCAAGGTTTTAGGTAAGGAAACAATAATGTGCCAAAGTAGACGAGGTATTTGTACCGGCAATGTGTCAGTTATTGAAGGTTTTTCTAAAATCACAGTTGGTTCTTGAGTTTTGTCGGCTTTTTTCCCGCGTTTAGCCTTTTTGTTTTGCTCCTGCAACAAATTATTAGAGATGATTACAACTCCTGATTTCGCTCACAATTGTGTACTTTCTCTCAAGGTAAGAAGCCCAGTTAACTAAATACTGCCCAATGGTAACAATAACAAATAAAATAATGCACACTTCCACCATGCCCATCTTGCGGACATATCGGTAGTAGTAGACAGCAGACCTCCAGTTAGGAAGTCCATTAATAAGGACTTCGTCATAGTATTGTCGTTTAGTACTACTTCTGAGTACTTCGTAAACTGCAACCAAGTTCCGGAATTGGACTGAAGTATCAACGTGGGGGTTTTTGTCGGGATGTAACTTGAGGGAAAGTGCCCTAAAAGCGGACTTAATTTCCTGGTTTGTGGCACTCTGAAAGTGTGAAAAATAATGAGATTTCAATAACCAATGAGTTTAAATTTGCTCACCTGAGACACATTTAGAAGAGAATAGAAATTTTCCTTAACCTCATCAACAACATCAAACACTTCCAACTGCTCAGAATCCCAGGCGGCCACTAATTTTAAATAAAAAATAAATAATATTGCACGTATTAAAATCATCTCTACGATTTTTATGATTGTAAATTCACATTTTATTGAAAGATTTGACAGCTAAAAATGAGGTTAGGCTGCGTGTCAACTCAACTGTCACTACGACCGCACTATTCAAAAATGATATTATTGTGAAAGTGAAACTACTAAATTCTGTTTTTTTCTTTATTGGAACACTTTTTCTAGCACTTTCCCAATAAATAAAGCGTTAAATTAACAAAACAAATCGTCACACTTGAAAAGTAAATGCTATAAAATATTTTCTTTTAAAATGATAGATTTACATTTAAGCCCCAAATCTCCCTGAATACCCCCTTGCGGCAACTTAAAGTCGATGTTTGGTTGTTTCTGATATGTCCCAACTTCATTTAACTGTGCATTGCTTTCAGATAAGTCGGACAATTTCCAAATGGCCACATTTATAGCCTTCCCGTGCCTTGCTATCACATAAAAATCACTTTCAGTCTCCACCGCCCCGCAAATTATAGCCCAATGTGCCCTACTGCCGTTTAATAACCCCGGAGAGTTATCTTTGTCTGTGTCATAAGGCACTAATAAATGGGCACCATTGAGCAAAAATTCTTTGATTTCTTTTGTATTTAATAAACCTGAGTATACTTGAACACTGGTCGATTTTAAACTTAACCGAGCCAAAGTGGCCATATTTTGAACACTAAACATTTCCCCATTATTGGTAAACCCCTCATTCTTAGCGGTTTCTAGCAGTGATTGAACTGAGGCAGTGCTGGGATTCCCCGAATAAATTGCAAGGGCAACCAGACCACACTGGGGTCCATCTTGAAGAAACGCGGCTAGGGGTTTATACGAGTATCTGTGAGGAGCACTCAATTCTGTTAGGGTGAACAAGGTGCAAATCTTGTGCACTTCAGGGTAACATTCAGCCCAAGAAAAATTCATTTTGTAAGTAAGTATAAAATCTACAAATAGGAGATAGTACTGTAAGTTAAACCTTTGAATATTTTGTAGTGTTAAATACCCACGATTACATCACATTATAAAAAACACATTATAGAGAAATAAAAAGTGAGGTTATCTAATGGAATCTACGAATAACTCGACTAAAATTAAAAAATGTGCGGGAAAAGACAACCTCCAAAGATTGAATTATTTGTACCAGGTGTTGTTATAAATGTAAAAAAAAGAGCCAGCTTTAAAAACAATTTTTTTAGGCGTGTAATGCAATTACTACAGAGAATGAAACAAATCATTTAGCGTCTGTAATGTATAGCAATCTTTTGGTCGCAATATCGAAAAAAGCTGTTCAAAGAATGTAATTTCACTCAATGTATTTTTTTCTCTTTTGATAGTTATTTTCAGGGACATTGAAGTAAAAAGAACGATTTGTAAAGGCTGTCGCTGTATGTTGTTGGCGGGGATTACATGCAAAGTGAGGATAAAGAAAAAACATTCGATTTGGACGTGCACCAAATGCAATACAGCGAAAGTATTCCCTGCGCAAAATCCCGATTATGTGCCTTGGAATTTGCAAGATGACAGTGTTGTGGAGACTTTACAATACAAGTGAAGATTATAAATATTAATTTTTATTAATAAAATTACAGAAAAAAATCGTAAAACCTAGATCATTAAATTAGAATTTTCACTTAATAAAATAGCAAGTAGCTAAATAAATACTTGTTCATTTGCTAAACTGTCAGCAAACGGACTAACTATTTCTTTGGTTGCGAAATAAAAAATCAGACCAAAAGTAATGGAGATAGGAAGCGCTGGCAATGCTTTTTTAAAGATGGCCAACAAAAGTAACGTGAGGCAAAGTCCCTGGAAACAACGATTAGAAAAAAATCATTTTATGGAAAAATCCATACAATAAGAATGGCGACAAAACAGGCCAAAGTGGTATTCCAGTCCCCGTAAGAAGACGCTTTCCCAACCAAAACGCTGTAAAAAATGAAGTCACCCAAACCCAACTTGACACCCCCTGGAAAAACAATTAAAAAATAGAAGTCGGTTTTTTTCCAACCCACGTTCTTCCTCCTCCTGATGGATTTGCGTCCGTGGGGTTCCTCGCGGAACGTCATGCACTTCCAACCGTCTTTGAGCAACTCTACTGGAATGATTATCAACCCAGTCTTGTGTAAAACCATCTTCTTCAGTTGAATCAACTGACGATCGTGCGGCAGCCCTCCGAGGAGGATTTTCCTCGTTTGAAGGTGTGGCCATGCTGGTGTAAGCATACATGTATGTTGCTACAAAATTAATGTCAGTAAACGAAAAAATATTTTTTGTAATTTACAAGAATAGATCAAAGCTGGGAAAATTTGTTCATTTCGTTCCTGAGCTGTTTCTACTAGAATTCTTAAAGGTCCTTTCGGCATTAACACAGCAACTAGATCTGTAAAATATCAAATTAGTTAAGCTTAACTTTTAGTTGATTTTTAAAATACCCCAGACTGAAATTACAGCTAAAACAGCCCAAGTTGTCCATTCTGGAAGATATTTTATGAAAACTAAAGCCATAAGTGCCGCAACAAAGATCAGATACGCTTGCTGAAGAATTAGGGGGCCTTGCCAGTGAATACAAACCATACCCATTACACCAAAATTCCACATTAGTAATACTATTGTGGGGTAATCCATTGGTATATTGTAAGCTCTTAGAATTTCCCTGAAACGATTTTAAATTAATTAAAATAATTAAGGACTTCATCTGCTTACTCCAAGTAAAGATACGAAAAGACGGTTAGCAACATTAAAGATGACAGAATCAACCATCCATGAATTGTCTTGTAACACCTATATTTATATAATACAATCAACAAGACAGTCATTACTACAATAACGGCCATCAGAATCAACGAATTCGCCGCTGCATTCCAGACCTTCGTGCTGGTGTCAGAACTTTCTTCATGGAAAGGAGTATAAACCCTGCAATCCCACATTAACCACCTCACCCCCTTTAAAAACAATTTCCTTACAAATACATATCTTTGACGGAATAGAAATTCACAGCACTTATTGTCGCAACTACCACCACCATACACAGGGATACGGGAGCAAACAATTTAATAACATGTTTGGCCCCGTATTTCAACTCTTCTTCCTCATCCCTGAGTTCTGCAACTTGGTAATTTACAGGTGGGGGCCTGCTACCGCCACCAGTGACAACTTGGGCTTCAGGAACATCGTCGTCTTCGGGTAACCTGCGGGACCTGCGTTTTCGAGAACCCTCAGGACCTACCCTGGAATCACCCGTTAGCGAATTGCCACTTCCGTTCGTCTCCACATGTCCGTCCATCAGCCTGGTTTTCTCGGACACTGACTCGAATTCGCTTTCACTCTCAGACATACAATTTTCAGTGAAAAATTGACGGGGAAAACTCAACAAAAAAAATAAATGTATCTACACAAAGTTTTGACAGGTGTCAGTTGTCAAAAATGAGTCAGTGGTCCAGCAAGTCATATGCGCGCGGAATCTTATGGGCATAAAGCCTTACATTATTTGAATCGATGAAATAGCGCCATTTTGCAAACTTTCTTACATTTAATTTTATTGCTAATAATACTAATAATCTATAAAATATGTAACCCAAAAATAAAAAGGCCACGACCACCGATATTTAAAAAAATCAATCATCAACACTGTCAGACAATTAAAAAAATGTCAGAAGTATCATTATCAAAAACTCCGGTTGAGGAATTAGCCGGAGGAGATCAACCGGAAGAACCAGAAGTCTACAAACCCTACAAAGTTTTTATCAATCATGTGGATTCTTATCACTCTAAGTATATCTCGGCTGTAATACCTCAAAAAACTTTCACTTCCTTCATATCAACCCCAACTTTCAGTACGTTACAGACCAAATTTACGGATTATCCAAACTGATGATGAAAGGGGGTGCCGGTGAAGAAGCCCCGGGAGAAGAAGCAGCAGCTGTAAAACCCCCCTTACAAGACCTCCCCAAAGACAAATATGAATTCATCGGCACACTTTCATCGGTTTATAGAGAACCTTCCGAAGACATCCTCTACACACTCAGCGAAGATGATGAAGATTTTCGCGAAAAGATCCTAAAGTGTGGTTTTATAATTTACGATATTACGAAATATCCGAAAGAAATTGAAAAAGCCCTCAAAACATTGTCGATACTTACAGAACAGTTGGATAAAATTAGTAAAATCGGACCGAAAACGTATGAGCAGTTTAATGAAACTAAGATTTTTATTCTTATTTCAACTATTATGACATGGGGGTTGACAAAACCATTAGATCCTGTACTTTTCGTGTTTTTTGTTGTGGTTTCGCACTAAGATTGCGTATTTCAGGATGATCCGGACTTGCCACTTTCGGAAGTAGACTATCGGAAAAGGAGACCACATCCTAATTATAAAGAACATTACACTTGCGAAAAAGAAGTTATAAAAATTGGACAACAAGTAAATAGTACTGCGATGTCACAACTTTTATTGCTTTTATTTTAGTATAAAGATAAATTAAAAACGTACATCGTATGCGCCGGCCTAACTTATGGCGAAGAGGAGGATATTTTAGACTTTTTCTTCAAAATGGCGTGGTACAATGAAGTGTTGCCAATTTTTGATAACGGCAACAATAGAATTCCTTTTATCCACGTCCGTGATTTAGCAAAGTAGTTTTGAATAAAATTTTATGAGTCTTAAATGCATATGAATTTTCTAGAGCCCTTCATGGGCTAATGGAAAACGCACCTCCTAAACCGCAGTATATTTTAGCAGTCGAGCAAACACCAACAACTCTAAAAAAGTTTGTGAAAACTCTAAGCAAAGCTCTAGGTGATGGAAAAGTAACAAATGTTATGTCCGAGGAAGCTTTCCTCTACAAAAATATGACTGTAAATATTTGTAATATGCCGCAATATTCCAAAAGTACAATTTTTAGCAAACTATTTTTGAACGATGTACTGTCAATCTCAACATGGAACCAGTTTTTCTCGTTGAAAATCTCCAATTGGAGTGGCAAAGCGAATTAACTATTGCCGAAAATATGCTTCAAGTCGTTCGCGAATTTACAGCAAAACGAAATCTAAGACCTGTAAAAATAATAATACATGGGCCCCCAGGTTCCGGCAAAACCCAGTTGGCGAAAAAAATGTGCGAATACTACAACTCGAAGTATGTTTCGATTCCGACAATGTTGGAGGACTACATAAAATTTTGGGTATTGCATAATATATTTACACCTTTTCATTGCGATGTTTCTTGTTTAGAAAGAAAGTCTCGTAAGGCCTGAAAAACCCAAACTAGAGGAAACCGAGTACCTTGGCGAAGAGGAATTAGAAGAAGAAGTGGAAGACGAAGAAGACCCCCAACAAATCTTGGAACAAATACGAGAAATGGAAATGTTTATGGAAGCTGGTGTTGAGAAAATGCCTGATGATTACATTACCGGTTTATTGAGGTCGTATTTGGCGAAAAACTTTTGCCAAAATCGGGGTTACGTCCTTGATGATTATCCTCGCTTACCCGCTCAAGTAATGTTTCAACAGAAATTAGAATTTTTTTGTGCAATGTGTATCTTAGGCTAAGGAACTTTTCGGTCAAAGTGAAAACATGGGCGGCGAAGAGGAAGAAATGGAAGCTCCAGATTTCGCCGAAAAAATATTACCAAATCTTGTTGTCGGTTTGGTAGCAACAGATGAATTTATAACTGAAAGAATGATGAAGATGCAGGAGGAAGAAATCAAAGTAGAGCAAATTAAATTAGTTAAAAAAAAGTTATCAGTTTTTCTAGGACACTCCGTATGCTGAAGAAATTATCTTGGAAAGATTGAGAGAATTTAGAGAGAATAATACTGATGAAAATACCGTTTTAAATTATTTCGATGAGCTGGAAATTGACATTTTACTTTTGGAAGCTAAAGATGATGATAACGAGGAAGCATTTACTTTTATAGCTAATCAAATGGGCCCACCGTCCACTTTCGGTTTAACACCTGAGGAAGAAGAAGAATTGAGAACAATACAAGAACAGGAGAGGCAACTAGCTTTAGAGAAAGAGGAGTTGAGCAAACAACTCGAATTGGAAAAAGCTGAAGAAGAACGTAAAAATAAAATGGAAGCTTGGTCAGAGACATTGGAAAAGTTGCAAATGGAAGAAGAGAAGATTTTAGTGGCCCAGAGTGAACCTTTGAGACATTATTTGATGAAATACGTGTTTCCAGTTCTCACTAAAGGTTTGATAGAACTCGCAACGTTGAAACCGGATGATCCGGTTGATTTTCTCGCTGAATACCTCTTCAAAGAGAATCCTGAAGGTAAAATGTTTGATCCTTCATATAATGTTGAGTGCGAGGATCTTTACACCGAGTTTCGGGGATACATTGACAAAATCATTGATGAAAATGAGGCGTTTGATTGAATGGCTTTTTTGAATAATACATTTTATTTTGTATTTTGAAATCATCTACTCTATACATTATTAGAATACATGTTTATGCAATAATATAAATAATTTATTACTATCATCGACTGAACGCCAAATGACTAAGAAGCTTGTCTATTTTCCTAAGACAATAAATTAAAAATGCATCATGTCACTTCACCAAGATGCTTTGAGCATTTCGATGACGTAACGTCATTATCATTTCTTATTAAGTAAATATCACTCGTCCATTCTTAACACTATCAAAGAACTAGCACTAAAACTTAAATACTGTACATAATGAAAAACAAAAACTTTTAAATAATGGAAGATGTCAAGACAAAAATATTCACACCCGTGTGGGAACAATTTGGATATGACTAATCACAGAGATTGCATTTTAACTAGAAAAAAAGGCTACATGCCTTTCAGGCTTCCATTCCCTGTTCCCCTAACAATTTGTATAAACTGTTCCAAACATCAACAAAAACAATTCGTTCTGAACTCACCCTTCAACAAATCAATTTGAAATTTTTGATAATTTCGAAAATATGATACCGATAGGGCAAGTTCCTTGTGATTCTAGTGCATATACCAACAATATATACAGTTACAGCGACAACCTTATGTACAATGTGGACTCAACAACTTCAATCTTCCAAAAAAAAAACTCACATCACATATAGTAAGTATTTGAATACTTGGTACAAGTTAGGTACTAGGGCTAAGTATAAGCGCCGGAAATTAGCACCACACCTTGAGAAAATCCAACAGCCGAGGAGACGGCTTTGTAAGTAACATCTGATTTTTTCCTGCATGAAAAGAGCTGAACGTGGGATTTAATCCAGGAAGAGTGCAAATTTTGTGCTTCATCCTAACTACAGACAGTTTTACAAAGAGCTAATACGTGTATGTTAAGCGTTCACAAGTGTACGAAATGAGCATAATTAGGAACGTAACTGCATCATTAACGCTAAATTAATTTAGAAAAATTTTGCCAATAAACGGTTAGCTCTACTGGATGCAGCAAAAACCGGCCATGACCTTTTTAAATATTAACTATTACATTATAATGTTATAGTAATACTCGTAAACTATTAACACTAAGCCATAACATTGAGAATTGATAGAAGAGTATAAAAGGCGACTTGTGTCCCACTCCCCTTAGGACTTGAGGAGTTTGTTGGCACGCTGGTTTGCCACTGCAATGCGCGTTTCGTTGCTCTCACCCTAACCAACAAACATATAACCAGTGTGCCCCATCACAAAAAACTACAGCCCAACCTGATCCGACCCCACGACACTTTACACACTAAAACAACAGCAAATATGCTTCAAAATAAACAAAAACGTTTAATTTCGTTTTTTATAGTATAGATTCTCCAATTGTAGAAAAATAATAGGAACGGATCAGGCTTGCAATCAAAGTCTGTAAAAATATTAGTGTTATTGTGTTGTGTGTCTACTTGAGAAGATCGTGGGCACGTTGATTGGCCACCTCTATCCTCGTTGCATTGGACTCGCCCTGATTCGGACCATCGGTTTAGTAGGTATGTACGAGTAGATGTAGTGTCGTGAAGTAAACGGCAATGTAAACAAACAACACCAAGATTATTAAAATTCACAAGCAAATTCGTTAGAAAATTATTCAATAAATGCTAGCGCAAATCGGCAGAAGCTTTTTGAAAAAAAAATAAAACGAAAATATTTAGAAACCAATCAAAGAGTGCATTTAAATGGTTCCAGTGCTCGCAAATAAACATCCCATTGGTTCAAAAAGCTCGACACGTCAGGTGAGGTAGCTCAAACTTCAAACTATCACAAAAAATGTAGAAATTTTCTTTAGTAAGACAAGATAATTATTATTCTCATTTAAGAAACCTCCCCTCCAAGTTCGTAACTAACATACTTACCATCCGTTAGTATTTAATTAAATTAAGATAAAATCCAGTGCTAGCACAATATCGAACAAAAAACTTCCAAAAACCCGCCATAATTACCTTGAGATTGATACGATCGACCTGTCTGTTTTGATTCTCCAACTCCGAGCCCATATCGATGGCCATGTTGCGCAAATTTCCGATCATGGTATTAACCTGTCCCATGTTTTCTTCCATTTCTTCTTCGCGTGCGTCGTTTGTGATGCGACCGATGTAGCCTCCTTGCGGTCCTAGACCGTTACGATCATCCATCATCCTCTGCGGTTGATTATTCACGACTTTTCCATCGTCGTTACCCTTCCATGTGCCTTCGTCCTCTTTGAACGACGACCCTCTGCGAAAAATAACATAAATTTCGTGTCGCCTAAAAATCTAGATCGCCTAAACGGACTCACTTCTGACACGGTAAAACGCAAAGTCCGCAACATTTTTCCATCCCTGTGAGGTTCTTTTCGGCTTCTCGCATATCCGCGTTGATTTGGTCCATGCCATCTTCGATACGGTCCAGTTGCTCTGCGCAATATCGACTTGAATAAGCATTCGGACGAGTCCGAGACGAGATTTTTTAGCACATTAACTCGCTATAGTTTGAAATGTGTATGCGTTTCATGTGTGTGTATCATAGTTGGAACAAATCGCATGCACATGCCACTATTCTACTCGGGAATCCCCGAAATCCAGTTTAGGGATTCGGTTAATGCACTACATTTCTAGATGTTTTTAGTAAGCAGACTAGTATTCAGTAAAATTCATGCTACTCGAGATGTTTATAAGAACGACCTGAGCTGGGAAATATAATAAGAGAACTGACAGTGTGAAATATACACGTTTAACGGTTATGTGAGTTAGTGTTAACTTACTTCGACAGTGTTAATCCTTCATGTATGTAGTTGTCTTTGAATCATGTATTATATTATCCATTACAACGTAATTTTTACTGATGATAAGTTCACGCTGAATTGCTTTCGTTTCAAATCATTAAATAACAATACATTTGTTATAAATTATGTAAATTTAAGAGACGAAAACATTTCAACTGCTGACTGTACTTCGCATTGATTTGTTTTGGACACGTTTCAGTTTCAGGAGGATATGGGAAAGTTGTGCAGGACGATTTGGGTACACATTTCCTTACTTATCCATCCCTCGAATAGTTTTATTTTACGCCCGGCTGCCTGCTGTCGTTCGATTTTTAAGCGACTCACTGTCATAAATATTTTAGACTGCCACTCATATTTCTCATAGTAAACCAAAAAAGCAGTAGAATAATAAATCAATTAAATATTTCTCTGCGATGAACGTTTTTGTTTTGTAAATGTCTGGTTTTTCCACTAGTTTATTGAAAGCAACTATAAATCCCAAATTTTCGTAACAAAGTTTGATAAATGTATAATCTATCCAATAAGTAGCTTCTGGAGAAGTTCGGAAGTAGTTCCACCGAAAATGTATGCTTGACTTGAGCAAGTTACTAACTCCTTCGACCATAAATCAAACACAAACTGCTATTGAAATTGCACAGTTTAATCAATGGCCCCCAATTATTAAGGGCCGTTTTTTCTAACCCTCTCGCCCTGCACAACTAAAACTGTGTTATCATAAATTTGTATCGTCAGGTAAAGATTGGGAGGGCATAAAATTCAACTAAAAATGTCGTCGTGTGGTTCGGATCTAAGGAGTGAGAATTTGTTCAGTTAATTGTGGGTGAATTGGAATATAAAGAGAGACACAGCGAGACTAGATAGTATGCTTACCGCCCTGTTCATCCAGCATGACCAGGGTTTTCATCCCGACCTCGTGGCTCTACAAACATCAAGACAATCAGCTTGGATAACCTGCGTCCGTTCTCACCATGTTCTCCCCGTTAAAGTAAGTGTTTCAGTTAGGCGAACACAAGTTAATGTGTTCGCCCGACTGCCGGTTGTTAGTCCCTCCGACACCTATAGATAAGTTAATCCACCCAAAAGAGGATCTACGAGACATATTAGACCTGTTAGCCCACCACAGGTGTAAATAAAATGAAAACAAACTCAACACGGTCTTTGCGAGAAAGAGCGCATTGCGATTAGATCCCCAATGAAAGCAATGGTTAATTAACACCTGGGACATTTCGACTGCTTACCGCCTTGATGGTTGAGCATATCCATAGTCTTGGCGCCGGCATCGGTACTCTACAACATCACAGTGCCTAGTAGCATACTTACACGACAATACACAGCACACCACTATAATACAATAACCACAATACTCAGATAAATATCAAAAAAGATGTGGAATGAAGCAGAATAACACACAAAGTAGTGAAAGCAGAAAGACAAGCTAAAGCGACAATAGCATGCAAAACGTGTTAAAATGCAAAATGTATCAGTCTGTATCCATGTTAAATACACCACATTTAAAATGATGATAGATGGCGTCACAGCATGTGACTTAAGTCACAATCGTGCTTTGAATATGATGAGGTACACAAAAAAGTTGAGTCACAATGACGGATCTTGGGTTAAATGATGATTTGGGTTAAGTATGATAGAGTGAGTGGAGAGAGACTCACCTCCCTGGTCATCAAGAGCGACCAAGGTTCGGATTCCAGCCTCCTTGCTCTACAGCAGCACAAAACAAGTGTACACTGTTTGTTAGTATATATGTTAAGTGGTACACGCCCGCTACAGATAAGCACTCAGTATATTACTTGTTCAGTTCGAAGAGATAGAGAAGAGATTTATAGACAGGAATTTAGAGCGAGTGGAACGGGTAGCCCGGCAAGCTGGAGGAGAATGTAACGATAAGCTATGTTTATAGGCACCCGAATCGCGACACATGAGGATTTTAACAGGATCACCTACTCATCATTAAACAAGAAAACATAAAATGTACAAGCAAAACTTCAACAATTCATTTCTGTCAAATTACACAACTATGCTTTTCACCGATTTCAAACTTTTAGTCATTTTCATGTTCCAAAAAACTGTATACAGAATATTCGATAAAATGATCCAATGTTATCACAAAAAATTAAAAAATATACAGTGAGCGGCAAAACTATGGAATAATCGTATTAAAACTGAAAATATTGTTTTGGCAAACATGCTCAAACAGGTAATTTTTTTTAATACACAATTTTAAACTTGATTTAAACTTTTACACTTTTTGGTTTTTGAGTCGACATTTTTTTTTAAATGTAAACCTCCATTTTTTTAGTCAATTCGCTAGAACTTTTAATTGTCGAAATGACAACACCAAAATATCAAATATTACATAGTTTTCGAAAAAAAAATCATCCAAAAAGTGAAATATATCAACAAAAATCATACATACTATGTTAAATCAAGTTAAGAATTTTCTAGTTTTTAAAAAGAAAATTGACCTGTTGGAGTTTTTGTCACAACAAAATATTTTTAATTTTAATAAATAAGATTATTCCATAATTTTGCCGCTCGTTGTATATTGTAATTTCGTTTTTTGTTTTTTTTTTAACAAACCAAAAACAAATTCAATCTCGTTAATAACTATGAACAAAACACCAAGGCATTACTACGATAAAAAAATTCTTTTTTGCAATGCAATATGTTTTTATTGAAAAATCTAATTTTTTTCTTACTGGAAAATAGATCACAAATAGATATATCATAAATAATAAATAGTTTCATAAAAATAATTTTGATTAAATTGTTAAAAACCGATTCAATTAAAGAATAAGGCTTTAAGATAATTGCTAGTACTAGTAATGTATCATTTTTTTGCAAGAAAACCGGCTCATAACTTCACATAATTGTTTTTCCCACTGAATAAAAATATTTGAAGTGTTCAAAATATTACATAATAATGTGAAAAGTAAATTTCATAATTACATGAAAAATTAATGTTTTGTTTTCCGTGAAACTAATTAAAACAGCCAAATCCATAAAACTTAATTGCTAAAATATGAGCAGACCTGACAACTTTACTGACAGAGAAAATAAAACACTAATAAGTAGTTACGAAAAGATAACTATCGCTTAACTAAGTTAAAAAATCTGAATCGTTCACTCTACAAATATGAATTTCGACGAAACTAAAAAGCCAGCAATAAGAACAGAAACAAAGTGTAGAAGCCCTCTTTAGTTTAGTTGGTATTAATAGTTTGAAGTACTTTATGATCATTTCATTTTTGGAGCCGGTGTTTGAGGTGGCGGTGGTCGGGAATCAAATATTCAACTGTAGTCTGCGAGTGTGTGTGTGCAAAAGTGCGTGTGGGTATTTCTCATATCTGTACACGTAACACAGCACAAACACAGGCACACTTGCAGGGCTACCGCTACCACAACATCGAGTCCATGTAAGCACACCGCAACCGTCCCCAAAACCCCGCCGCCTTCTTCAGCAGAGCTCGTCCCACGGTAGTCCTGCTCTGCACCGGTAGAGTCGATTCAGAGGACAGAAAGAGACAGTGCAAGACATGCAGCACAGAGATACATCAAAACAATTACCAAACAATTGACTCTTATCGTATTAATTAAACTATGCCATCATTGTATGGTAATTGCAACACTTAGAGCAAAGAAGGGATGAGTTATTACGAAAGTCAACTAAAAATAAGATCCTGACACCCCACTTTGGTCATTTATCACGAAATTACAAGAGATTAATCACCTAGAGAGAATTATTAAAATTATCGGTATGGATTCTGGGTGGGTACAGCAAGGGGGGATATTTACCTCTTCACATAGTGCCAACATGCGCCGGGTGCTCTCCAGAGACTGAAAAAGGTTGAATACGTTAATCGAGTGGTGCATAATTACTGGCAGATATTACCTCATCGGTGACTTGCCCAGCCCGGAGCTGGAGCTCCTGCAGCTCGGTTCGGGGGGCCCCATTTTCGGCGACTGGTGCAGGTGCCGGCATTTTTCTACAATCAAGAATGACAGTACTGACAAAAGCACACGACGCACAATCTTTTTTGCTTGGGACTGTACTCTACATTGTTTGACCCGAGAAAATCAATAATCCCGTAAAGGGAACCAAGACGGGCGCGTTCTCTAATTCAAGCCGAATGAGACAATTTTTTAAAATAACCAAAATTGTGATATTTACATCTCGTGACATCATACTTTTCTCAAAAATGAATCATGATATTCGCTTGAAACAAAACACGGCGAACGGAAATACCTGATGGTTGTGATAGAAACGTAGAATTACTTACGCAAATTTGGGGAATAAAATGCACTAAGGAATTTCTAAAAGATTCTTGAGTCAAATTTTAGAATTAGCAACAAACACCACTGTAATTTTTATTTCACATAACACTTTGACAGGAAAACTGTCAAAGGGTTAACGCATTTGGATGACAACAGCCCACTGAGCAAAATGTTGAGCGGGGCAGGGGAGATGCGGAGGAATTTTGAACGCTTCTGCGCATGATCCGATAAAACAACGCATGGAGGGAAATTTAAATTTGCCCGAAATTGCGTCAACAAAAGTACAAAAAAAACAACAAATCGGTAAAGTATAACGTTTATTTTCTGAGCAACAATGTGCTGCTTAAATAAATATGAATTAAGAACAAGTCGCACCTTATCTAATTTGAACTCCCAAAGTTGACGCTGCAACTTTGGCGATTTCGCTGTGAATTAAGTTAACTTCAGATTGGACGAGAGTTTTTTCCATATGTCTGTAAATAATGCGGTAGCAATGACTCGTTTTTCCATGTTTTGGATGTGTGAATTCGTCTACTAGAACAATTTGTTCTATTGTATCACCTCCAATGTTTCTGGCCAAGTCGTAGAAATCATTACTTGAAAATTCCTTATCTTGCGGAAGCCAAAAACTGAGATCGCTGATACATTGCGGAAATTGACTAATTTGTTTATAAGTGACGTTTTCATCATATTTTACTTTAAATTGGTTCAAAAATCCTGTATCACTGGACCAGAAAAGACGGATATCGGGGATTTTGTACAAACACATTGCAACTCTTTCAAGTCCAATGCCAAACGCCCATCCAATCCTATCCACAATTCCCGAGTTGGTTAAAATCGGTTGCCTCATTATCCCACACCCCAACAACTCCAACCAGTTGTTCTCGTGACATACTTCCAGTTCCCATGATGGTTGAGTGAAAGGAAAATATGTGTCAATCCATCTGTATTCAATTTTCTCCCCAAATAACTCCTTGGCTAGCCCTGTAAGAGTGGTTTTCAATTCGTGTTCCATCAATTTAACTGCTTCTAAAGTGTGGCATGCTTGTTTCTGCTGAGTTCCAGTATTTTGGGTGTTATTGCCTAGCTCAAAAATTTCCAAACTTTGCTCTTTGGGAAACAACTCATCTCGGGTTTTCAAACGGACTGCATCAATCTGATGAAAAATCGGATAGTGTGTCCTATCTATCTCATCTCGCCTGTAAACGTCTCCAATCATTAGAAAATTATTCAAACCGGCTCGCATAAGTTCTGACTGATGAGCCGTCATGTGTGCCCTTAATAAATAGTCCCGGTTCAAGTAATAACAGTCACTTTTAGACCGTGAGGGATGACTTTTGGGGGTCAGCAAACTATCAAAGTTTTGGTCCACTGATACTACAGGGGGCAGGGCATCATACACTGAGAAAATTGGATTTCCGCGGCCGTTGACAAACTTTTTGTAGAAGTAATTTACAATTCTTTGACGCACGTGGCTGAGGGGGTGATGCTCTTTCGTGTGGAGGTTTCGGCCCAAGTGGGATGCTATTTTATCAGTAACATTCGTAAAGTCGTCTTTACTGTATGTATTTTCCAATAATGTTAAACTATATTGTATTTCAGGTTTTACCGACGATGTAAGACACCTGATGATTTGGTAGTTGCTAATATTCAAAGTTTTCAACATTTTTCAAGGATCTGTCATCACATTCCTAACCTTACATAACCTACAAATGTTAAAAATGACAAAAAAATTAAAAACGTCAGTGGTTAAATCGTGTGCGCCTATTTTGACAAGCGCAATTTCTTGTAATTTGGCGCCATTTATAAATATAAAATCTATAAAAAAAATGAATACTTAGCCGAGTTTTATAAAAAATTCATCGCTTTTAATAATAACAACAATTCTTGCGACAGTCGTTAGCTTATCAAAAAATAATAACTTAAAATATCTTCAAGACATTACCATATTATTAGATTATTACATTTTTTTTTAAATAAATAAGTACTTAGGTATTAAAAATAAAATAATTAGAAATATTATTTTTATCAAATTGGTTTTTATTCACATTAAAAAAAAATTACATTAAAACATCAATGTGCATTTTAAAAAATAGCTTCAATATTTTCGAAGCAAATTATTGCTATCGTATACTAAAAATCTAAACATATAAAAAGTAAGAGCTTTGTAAGTAAGGTTCTGTTGTTAGGATAGATACTTCTCTCCTAATTGCATTCATATAAACGACAAGAAAAAATACAAAAAAAGGATTTTTTTTTATTATAAATAGAACAAGCTTAGGGCAACTCTTGGCCACTGACTTGGCGTTTAAGAAACTTTAAAAGTGCTTTATTAATAATAAAATCAAATTTAAATAAAGTTAAATGAAGACGTACTATGCAGGTACATACCTAAGTTTTTCCGAGTGAAATCTTATTTTTTGCTTATTTGTTTTTCTGTGGGATCCTTGGTTTCCTTAGATATAGTCTTCTCTGATTCCTCAATTTTGATTTTATATGATTTTCCTAATATTTTTCGATTTGTTCTGATTTCTCCATGATTTCCTAAATGTTGTACACCAAATTCTCTGCTTTGATTTCCATGATTTTCTTGATTCCATCATAATTTCTTCTTATTTCCTTAAGATTTCCTCTAACTTATCAATAAATGAACAAAAAAACCTAATTGCCCACATGTATTTTTTATATTTATAATTTCTATTGATTGCCTATAATTTCTTTTGATCTCCCCTGATTTCTTTTATTTCCACCCATTTCTCCCGATTTCCTTATTATTTACTCCGATTTCCTATGTGATTGTTTCTAAAAACAACAATTTCGATAAATATTTCAAAACAATCGAAAAAGCCATTTTCAAAAGTACAGGTGCGTTTTTCTCAGTCTCTCTAATAAAAATTAAAACGTATTTTAAATTTAATAAATAAATCAAAATGTTGGAATCATAATAATCGTTGAAATCGATATTTTTTTCCCGTTCTAGTTGGGACAAAATAGACATTTTCTGTACTAGATAATTAATAAAAAATAAGAAGGATAATAAGAGGATGCGGATTTAGATAGTTATTATTTTTGCTATATGGTACGAAGAGTGGCGAAAGAGTTATTGATATGGCGTGATAGCTATCGGAGTTTCCCACTGTACGCAGAGATATCATAGTGGGTGAAGGTCGTCGACTTTCCGTCTATTCCCGGTACGTCGCGGCGCATCGGATCCATTGTGAATGTAAAACGGGGAGTTGTGGGAGTCGATGGGATCGGGATAGTCGGCTGTCACTCTTCACAGCAAGTGCGTTCGTGTATTTCGCCGAAAAACCGCTACATATCCATCTATGGTGTTGCAAATCGTCTTTTAGTGCAGGTGCGATGTTTAAGGGCACAGTGCGGATAAAAGTAATCCAGGCCGAAGGGTTGCGCCCTACCGACTGCTCGAAACGCCACAACATGATGTTCGGCAAGTCTGACGACCAGATGGACCCCTACGTCACCATCGACGTGGACGACACCCACCTGGCCCAGACCACCACCAAGTCGAAGACGCTCGACCCCGTCTGGAACGAGTCCTTCGAGGACGACGTCGTCGACGCCAAGACGCTCACGTTGACCGTTTTCCACGACGCCGCCATACCACCCAATGTCTTTGTCGCCAACTGTAGTATACCACTCGAGGATTTACTACAGGACCACGAGAAAGATTTTTGGGTAAGCAAGGCGTCGCGACGCTCCATAACAAAATTGCGCAAAACCGACGTTGGTGAAATAGCTGACTGTTTACATGAAAGCCAATATTGATTTACTGCACCCTAAAACTCGCAAACAAGTGAAGGAATCGGGTGATGGGCTATTTTTGGGACTTTTTGAGGTTAACGCTTAGAACAGGCTGTGAGGGGCGGCAGTGGTGCATTAACAAAAGTTTGCAAAACGATTCCCCAATGAAGGAAAAGATTTTTTTTTGGAATTTAATCAAAAAGCTTTATCAAAATGCAGGACCATCTGCTTCACCGTTTTGAGTAAAATAACACCAAATAAAAATACAAACTTTAAACTCTAATTAAATATCGAAAAATTAAGTTTAGATAAACTTAGATAAAAATGGATAGTAATTAGGCAGGGCCGGACTGGTCACGAGTCAGAATAAAAGGATTCTTCCCTTAGACGTCAAATCTACTTAATGACCTAAAACCTCAAAAGTTCTAAAATTTCACTAAGTAGTACTTTATACTGATGTTTATAAATGTACAAAAAAACTAAATGGAAAAAATAAGAAAATTTCTATTGTTTACATAATTAATATCATGTTTATTAAATAAAAAAATAAACTCTTAAAATCTGGGAACTGATACATGAGATTATTAAAAAAATAAAAAAACTTTTTTGATATTGATTTTTAAATTATTTTTCAGGTTAATTTGGAGCCTACCGGTCGACTTCGTCTTCAGGTGGACTTAGAACGTCGCGGTAATTTTTTTCAATTCAATTTTTTATTTTATGGAAAAAACATAATTTTTAGGGGATGTTAATACGAGACGGCAGTTCAAAGAGCGCCAAGGCTTCAACCGAAGACGAGGTGCTATGCGTCGAAGGGTGCACCAAGTCAACGGACACAAATTCATGGCTACGTATCTTCGCCAACCCACATTTTGTTCCCATTGTAGAGATTTTATTTGGTGAGAAATAATAATCAAAACTTCACAATGTAACAATAAATATTTTTAGGGGTTTGATGGGTAAACAAGCCTATCAGTGCCAAGGTACGGAATGTACGATAATGTTGTCTCTAAATGTGCATTTGTAGATATATGAGCACTGTCTTTATTAATGTGAAGCTTGTAGGTATAAAATTCTTTTGGTTGGAATGAGTGGAAAAGATTTTGCTTTTATTTTGAGTTGCAGCATCCGAACGGCATGGCAATTTATATAGCTTTGTTTAGGTATTTGTAAGTTTTTATTATCATTACTAGTAGTGCGAGACTATTAATAGAGAAATTTTATCAAAATTTGTTACAGTATGTGCTTGCGTCGTTCACAAAAGGTGCCACTCTTTGGTTCTTACAAAATGTCCAGGGATCAAAAACGAGGTATTTTCTGAAATCTATTGACCAAAAGTGTAATTTCGCATTTTCAGAGTACTCAGCCAAATACGGGATTTAGTGTGAATATACCCCACCGTTTCGTGGTCCACAACTACAAAAGATTCACATTTTGTGATCATTGCGGGTCTTTACTCTATGGACTTTTCCGACAAGGACTTCAATGTGAAGCTTGTTCTTTGAATGTTCACAAGCGGTGCCAGAAAAATGTAGCGAACAATTGCGGAATAAATGTTAAACAGATGGCGGAAGTTTTGTCATCTATTGGTACGTTTTTCACAAATTTAATAAAAGCCTAATTGTCTGATTCAGGTGTTTCCCCCGACAAACAATTCCAAACCCATGTTAAATACGTCCCAGCGTCAACAAATCAAGAAGCTTCATCGGAAAATGCCGAAACCAACAAAACCTCCAACACTACAAAAGAAAGCAATGAAGAACCACCTGCATGTGAAGAAATAAAAGAACAAAGAAGTCCAAATAAAATTAGTTTAGATGATTTCAATTTCATCAAGGTTTTGGGAAAGGGAAGTTTCGGGAAGGTTATGTTAGCTGAGAGGAAAGACACGGAAGAAATCTTCGCGATAAAAATCCTCAAGAAAGATGTCATTATCCAAGATGATGACGTCGAGTGTACCATGACTGAAAAAAGGATTTTGGCGTTAGCTGCCAAGCATCCGTTTCTGACTGCGCTTCATTCATGTTTCCAGACTAAAAATCGCCTTTTCTTCGTTATGGAATACGTAAATGGGGGAGACTTGATGTTTCAAATCCAAAGGGCGCGAAAATTCGACGAGCCAAGAGCGAGGTTTTACGCAGCTGAGGTCACGTTAGCGCTCCAGTTTTTGCACAAGCACGGGGTTATTTACCGAGACTTGAAACTAGACAATATTTTGCTGGACGCTGAGGGGCACTGCAAATTGGCCGATTTTGGGATGTGCAAAGAGGGGATCTTTGAGGGTATTACGACTACTACGTTCTGTGGCACTCCGGATTACATCGCTCCGGAGATTTTGCAAGAGCTGGAGTACGGGGCGAGTGTGGATTGGTGGGCTTTGGGGGTTTTGATGTACGAGATGATGGCAGGGCAGCCGCCGTTTGAGGCTGATAATGAGGAGGATATGTACGAGTCGATTTTGCACGACGATGTTCTTTATCCGGTTTGGTTGAGTAAGGAGGGTGTTAATGTCTTAAAAGGGTTTATGACGAAGAACCCGAATAAGAGGTTGGGGTGTGTGGCCTCACAGGGCGGCGAGGCGGCGATCAAAGTGCATCCTTTTTTCAAGGAGATTGACTGGACTGCGTTGGAGCAGAAGAAAGTAAAACCGCCTTTTAAACCAAGAATTGTAAGTTTAGTTGTAAGAGAATTAAAATAAGTTGTAAACTTGTTTTCTTTGCAGAAAAGCAAAAAGGATGCGTTGAATTTTGACGCAGAGTTTACGAAAGAAGAACCAGTTTTGAGTCCGGTTAGCACCGAAGTGACGAATTCAATAAACCAAGAGGAGTTCAAAGGATTCTCGTTTATTAATCCAAATTACAATCCTAATCGTTTTACTGTTTCAAGCGACTAAGTTATTGACTAGAGATGATTTCAGTTAAATTTCAACCATATGAATAAGTTTCAATCTGACTCAGTTATTAGATAGAAGATTTCTGTGATCTTACTGGATAATTAAACCAGAAATTAAATGTATATTTACGAAAGGCCTAAGCTCTGTAAATATTTTATTTTGGTGAATTGAGAAGTTTTATTAGATCGAGTCAATTTATTGTTGTGGTAGCCTTAAAATTGTACAAGACTCATGTTTTCACATTTTGTGTTTGCAACCAGGAGATCGTAAAGAGCTTATCAAGAGAGATTTTTAAGGAAAATTGTTGATAATATGATAGTTTATGTGGATTTTGTTTAAAGTGTAGCACAAATGATGTAAAGAATGCCACACAATAACCACGAACATGGAGAGCAATCATTACGCAAAGTGTGCCTGTTGATGTTGTATGAGTTAAATAAATTTATCTGCCATATTGAGCTGTTTAGAACAAAATCGAATACATTTCAAAGAAATGTTTGTTGTTGGAAGGACAAAAATGTTTTATGTTTATGTCTGTAATAGGTAGTAATATTATTAGTACAGTCAGCTAATATAGTGATGGATGTTTAGCGAATTTCCCAGTATAAAATAGATACAGATTTTTCAACCTATTCGTCTTTCTTTTTTTTAGTATTATTCACGATTTTATCAAATAACTTTGCGTCCGGTATTGTGCCAAATTTATTTTGCCTACCTCATCTATTTTTATGACAAATACCATATGTTACCGTTTCTGTTGTGGTTCTCTTAGTACAATGTGTAATACCAACTAATAGTATTGTACTATTTCTCCAAAACAGTGTACTATAGCATATACCTAGTAGATATGTTAATGCAGGTTAATGGAGCACCTTTTGTTTTTTGTTATTTTTGAGGTTTTTTAGATTTTAATTATACATATATAAAGCAAGGGTGTCGAAATAAAGCTATACTTCTTATAGGCTTTTATTTTTTTCTTAGAATTCTGCATGAATTAGTAAGAGCTAGAACCGGTATTATCATATCTACTTAAAATAAATAAATATTATTTAGTGTATCAACAGATTTTTTATTATAACATTTTTTTTTCTTTCAGTAGTTTATCTCAGTATCTTCCTGCTCTACGATTTTAATAAAAAAGTATCAGTCCCCTTATTTTATACGAATACATACAATAATGTGCCCTACATGTCTTGATATTTCAAGCGTTTTTGCGACTTAATCGATCGGTTAATCGATCATTTTTATGATTTACTACCCAACTCATCTACAAAAACTCAAGATATTCGTAATTTTTCAAATTCGACCCAACAACGTTTTACACACTTAGGACCTAAATGTTAAAAAAAACTGTTTAAATGGTCATTTGAACATGTCTCAGATTCTATTTAAACATAKTTTTTCTGATAGATTTTGATGCGCTGATTACGAATTTGTCAATCATTGTGCGCTATCCCCACTAGTTTCGCCTTAATCCGCGTTTAAACATATTTTTTTGCGAGATATCGACTTGAATTTAGTGCCATCCAATACATTTTTTTACTTTGATTACGATGGTATTAAGTTTTTTGCTCTAAGTCTAAGTAACTATGAGTCCTAGGTCAAAACGGTTTATACAGAGGCGTATTCTCGGTTAATTTTATTTTATTCTTAACTTTATTACTCAACATCCCAAAAAATATGCGTCGTAGAGTATTTTAACTTGTTGCATCGTGTTCAGTGCGTAATTTTATGTCTAGAAAACCATATTTCAATTTTAAGGTGAGTAAGACTAAGGTAAGACTTAAGGTAAGTTGAGTATTTTTACGATTTTACTACCGCTCACCTTCAAAAACTCGAAAAATTCGTAATTTTTTTAAACTTGACCCAATAACGTTTTATGCACTTTTTTGAGTCTTTATCACTTCTAGAAATATTAAAAAAACGTTAAATAGGTCAATTTTAAAGTAGAATTTTTGGTCGATTTTTGGCACCTGGAGCAATACCTCCGGACTTATTGGTGATAACCTCTCATGTTCGGTACCGTTGAGAGGAAAATTTAATTTTCTATCATATACAAGATCAGTGCTCTACGATAAATAATTATCGAGAAAATTTCTGATAAATTAAATAATATCAAAAATATAAATTCGACTATAACTTCAAAACTATTACGAATTTTGCAGTTTTCTTGACGCCAATCGATTCTACGGAACATTTTACATAAGTCTAGGTCGAAATATTATATGATATATGATATAATAATTGAGATACAGTTTTTTAGCAATTTACAAAATAAAAAAAAGTAAAAATTTGTTTAGCCATGCGCCCCCCCCTCTCCTTAAAAACTAGTGTTTTTGAACATGTCTCAGATTCTTATATCCTATAGATTTTGACGCGCAACTCACGAATTAGCTAAGCATTTTGCGCTATTTCTTTTAGTTTCGCCGTAATCGGCGTTTAAATATTCTTTTTTTTGCGAGATATTGACTTATTGGCTTTAGGATCAATCGATAGATTTTTTTGATGGTGTTGAGCTTTTTGCTCTAAGTCTAATAATTTGGCTGTAATCGTCGTTCAAAAAGTAAAAATTGTCAAAATCGTGAAATTTTAAACGCGTTTTTGGACAAAACTATAAGACTTATAGAGCAAAAAGTAGTAAGTAAAAAAGTAGTCTGGCATTTTTTAAATATCTTCGAATTTATTGCATCTGGTTAATGTGAATAATGGTAATATATAATAAAGAATGTTAGTTCTTACTCTTTCTGGACATAGATGTTTTTTGACAATCAACAAAAATACTTAGTTATTCCGTTCTGAGTAAATGCAGAAAATTGAAAATGGTATGTATGTACCATCTGAATACATACATACGTTTTATTGAGCGCTCCTTGTATTCGGAATCGTTGACGGTAAATGGTAGTCGGTGGCGTCATCTGTGCTCGGGTTGATGGGTTCTGTTCTGCGATGGTCTGGTTATGTTCTGGGCGGTCGCGGTCGTGGAGGCGCTGAGGATTGTGGGAGAGGTGTCTAGAGATCGGGATTCGGGAGCGGCGTCGTCGTCGCTCGTCGTCCATGGCTGCTGTCAAGAAGTGGTGGTGTTTGTTTCGCTCTGTGTGCGTATGCAGATGCAGGTGTTGATGTGGTCTGTACTCGAGTGAAGTAAGACGGTGAATTCGGTGGTGGCGTTGTGTGTTCCCAATGTTCACGGGGACCGTCCGCATCAAAATATGCGAGGCTCAGGGCTTACGGCCGACGGACTGCTCGAAGCGCCACAACATGACGTTCGGCAAGGTGGCCGACGACCAGCTGATGGACCCCTACGTGACCGTCGACGTCGACGACACTCACGTCGCCCAGACCACCACCAAACCGAAGACGCTCGACCCCGTCTGGAACGAGTACTTCGAGCAGAGCGTCGACAAGGCCAAGACGCTCACCTTGACTGTCTTTCACGACGCTGCCATCCCGCCCGACGTCTTCGTCGCCAATTGTAGCATTCCCTTCGAGGATCTGCTCAATCGCGAGAAAGACGAGGCCGACTTTTGGGTGAGCGCTCCAACATAAACACGACACCTCGTGCACTCCATACCCAAAATAAATCGATTTCATTTTTATTTTATTTATTCAGTCTTTAAACACAAGCCCACAAAAAAAACCTTGGGGAAATACCCATTCATCAACCGTACAATATCTCTCATTGTGCTCCTAACACTTGCAGGAAATTTCATTTCACGTAAATGGTACAATCATTTCGAATTAGATGTTTAAAGTATTTTTGTACTTATTTTTGTGTAAATAAACAAAAAAACACTATACAGGTGAATATGGAACAAGCTTTTTTTTTAAATCATTTGCCTCCAGGTGATAATAATTAATATAAATTAAAGTAATATAAAAAATTTGTATTTTGAGAACGAAATTGTGTTTTCTTTTTGAGTTTTGTTAAAATTGCAATTTATGTAAAAAAAAATTGAAAAAATAAAGTAGATAGTTGTAATCCTTAGATCATAATCTTGATAAGAAATACTATTTTTTATTCGACGAGTTTGAGTGTAAATCGGACGGATTATCTCACCGAGTGGGTTATTAAACCAAACCAGTGGTTTATCATCCACGAGGTGGAATAAAGCGTCCGATTTACACTCAAACGAGTTGAATACAACATTTTATTCTTCGAACTATACTCAATAAGGCTTAAACTTGCTTTAAATCTGTTAAAAATAATCTGACGTTTCGTATTGAGAAATGCCAATCAGTTGTCAAAACTTCCTTACACGGGAAAAAATCGTAAATTTTGACAGTGTCGAAGAATAAAATGGTTTTATAGTGGGTTGTCATTAAAAAGAATAAAATTTTTGTAGAACTCAAAAACAAAAGAAAATTTCGAAAAATTTTATTCTTGATAAAACATCACATTTTTATAGAAATTTATCATTCATCAATAGTTTTTTCTTTTCAAAAAATAATTAATTAAAGCAAAAAACGTTTGGTTCCATACTCTTTTTATTCACGAGGGCACTTCAAAAAGACATCTACCTACGGAAGAGGATTCACATCAGACTTTAAACTAAACATAATGTTTTTTTACTGTTCATTTCCAATTTTTCTTCAGATTTACCGACAAAAAAATATTTTATCTTCATTTATTTTATTTCTATAGTCGTACCAGATGAATAAAAAGTACGGAACCAAGCGTTTTTTGTTTAAACTATTTGTTTTTGGAAAAAACAAGAATGATTAAGTACTTAATCATACCATAAATGTGATGTTTTATCAAGAATAAAAATTTTCGATTTTTTTTTGTTTTTGTTTAGCAAAATGATTTTATTATACCTGCATCATAATCCTAAATTAAAACACGCTGCAGCGTGCGTAATTTGGCCTTAGCACGCTGAAATTTTAAAGTTGTCTAGGTAACAAGAAATAGTGAAATGTCTGGACCAATTACAACGTGAAAAAATGTGCTTAACAACGTAAACAAGTAACCGTCTTTACAATGTCAATGCTCATAAAAGATCTTAAATGGACAGGTATAATAAAAAATAGCGTATAACACTCGTTTATAAGCGTCTTTAAAACACTTACGACGTTAAAAGCACTCCGCAGACGCGTCGTGCTCTTAAACTCGCCGTGCGTGTTTTAAAGGCTTGCTTATAAACTAGTGTTATAATATACTATTAAATGACAACCCACTATAAAACTGTTTTTTTACAAAGGCTGTGATGTTAGGATTAAAACTATCTACGTATTTTCAAAAACAATACAAAATTTTATCCTTAAAACACGATCATATTTTTTTATAGAACTTTAATTTTTATCCATTATTATTTTCTGAAGGCAAATGATTAAAAAAAAATCGCTTGGTTCCATACTTTTTGTTCACCCTTTTATAATTGTATAAAACAAGAAGTTTTAATCTGTTTATTTTTCTCACTTATACTCGTAGTTGTACTAAGAAATACGAAATACTATCTATTCTATTAGTTTTTTTTCTTGAATAACAGATTCAATTCATAGAAGATACCCTCAAAACCTGATTACTTTAACATAACAATCTCTGAAATAAATAATTTGTCAGAAAAAATACCTCTTTTCTATTAAGAAACAATCTGTATTCAGATGTTAAATTAAGATGTAATGATAAGACTTTATTTTTAAGATATTGTCATATTTTGCATTTATTGAAAAGATCAGCTGATTATTTTTAATGCGATACCTAAAACTTTTCTTGAAAATTTTCAAACGAATGTTGAGATAATAATATATGATGCAACAAACGGTATGATATGTTTATATTAAAGGTGGTTAGATAAGGTAAATGTGGGGATCTAAAATGTGCTGAACAGGGATTATCGTTTAAATTGATAACAGTAATGTAATTTAGTCAAATCGTTGCTCAAATAAAAAAATAAAATTGTGTGTAAAGTGGATTTAAAGAAAATTAATACTACGAGTACGAATGAAATTTTAGTACGAACTCGAGTAGCTAAAACATATTTTCTATCAGCTGTCAACAATATGTGGAATTCGTTTTTTTCTTACACAAATATGTATAAAATATACTATCAAGGTCGGCATAGATCATCATCTCTTTTTTCATTAATTACTTTTGGTAGGTAATTTTCCATTGAAGTTTTAAATTGTTTAAATTCTATTACGAATAGTAAAATTTTAATACAGATTTTTTCAAAAATTCGCAATTATAATTGAAATGCAGCTTCAAAGCATGACGAAACATGTCTGAAAAGTGCGACGAAGAAAAAGAGTTTTCCATATGATCTACTATAAATAATCCAGGGTCGCTTACTAGCAATAAAATAGTTTGATTTCAACAGGGTAACGCTATAAATTACAAGGCTGCTGGTCAACCAAATCAAAATGGCATTCCACACTTTTAATATTTAAAAATCAACCACCAAATGAAAATCATTTCTATTTCGGAAGCAGACTAATGGTAATGATAAATAAATAAATATTTCTGAAGACACTTAATCGTAATTACGAGGGTTCATTGATTTGACTCATTAACTTTCGTTAATTAGGAAAGATAGCCGCTCATAAAAGTAATTGTATTTGTATATTTGATCTGGACTTGTTGATGTTTTTACTCATATAAATTTTATAGCGTACGTGTTTATTTTTAAAAGTATGTAACTTACACAGTGCTTTTTAAAAAGAATTTGAAAATCATGCGACACTTTGAAAGTTTGTTTCTTGTGACTATTAGGTGTGAATGTCGGAGAAACAAAAACAGGATGTATGGTCATAGTTATCGGGTTTTATGGTCATGTGGAAAATCAAACATGGTGTAGCATGCCAAAGAATAATTTTATTTTCCTCGATTGGTTTCTGTTTTCTCTTTAAAACATTTTTATTGCTTGCAGGGGTTGCAATATCATCAAACTTCAATTGGTTGAGAAATTGGAATATTTTTGGTTTCGTCACGAAAATACTAAATAAAGTTGTCTTGGGTCGTGTATATTTAAAGCCGTATTTTAAACATCAAGATCAAGATTAATTTTAATATTTTTTTTATTATCTTGCAATTATTAGTTTTTGTGTTTTTTATTACTGAAAACTAAAATTGCGATAACAGCTTGTTTTTATTATCGTTGTTACTATTCAGGGTGTACAACATATTCAATTAACATATAAATAGTATGCTGTTATTCAATTAAGATGTTCTGTGTACAGTTCAGTGTAAAGAACTAGTAGTTTAAAAACGTCCTTAAGTACCTACTTGGTATTGACTCTGAAAAATGGAAAAACTAGTAGGTTGTATGCAAGCAATTTCTTAAAGAAACATTGATTAAATTTACTATTAGACCATAAAATTCAATTATCCAATTATTTCGAATGGTTATTTTAAACGTAAAATCTTAAAAATAAATCAAAATCGATAGAAAGTTAATTTATTAGCTTCGGTAAATATCAGAATATTTCGTTTTTGGAAGGCCATAGTTTTAAAAATAGGTCTCTTGACTGACTTAAGTTGACACTGAAAAGTATTTTGGAAAGGTGTGATAAATATTTGTGTGAGTCATCCGAAAACGTTTCCTGGTTGGTTTTTGAAAATTTAAATTTAGTTGGTTCTTTCTTTTAATTTATAACATTCAAAAAAAGCCGTGACAGGAAGAGATTTTTTCTAAAGTATTCAAACAAAATTGCAAATTTTAGAAATTTTTCAAGTGACTCATGTAGTAAATAACTTGCACCTTGAGAATGTTCCTTGAAATCGGTGACGAAACGTCGGCATTTTGCCAGATGCAATGTATGTATCTTCAATTTATTAACTGTATGTTATTTCCAGGTAAATTTAGAACCTAAAGGCCGTCTTCACGTTAGAATAGACTTGAAGTTGACAACGAAAGGTGAGTGTTTATTGCTTTTATTGTTTGAGGGTTGGTTCAAATTTGACTTGTTTAGATTATCATGGAGCTAAACCTCGCGAGTTCAAAGAACGCCAAGGCTTCAACCGAAGACGGGGCGCCATGCGACGGAGGGTCCACCAAGTCAATGGTCACAAATTCATGGCGACTTTCCTCCGTCAGCCCACCTTCTGCTCGCACTGTCGCGATTTTATTTGGTAAGTAGAAGTAGTGTTAAGCACGATCGACTTTGTAATAACAAGTTGTGTTTGTTTCCGGGGCCATTAACTTCACAATGGTGGTTTTGTTTTCAGGGGTTTGGGCAAGCAAGGCTATCAGTGTCAAGGTACGAAGTCGTCGCATGTATAAAATTATGTACATAGTCCAGCTTTGCTTTTTTGTTACGTCCAGAAACGCCCTCTGGCTGCCCGGGTGAGAGGTTGCGGTGGGTGCCAGAGAGCGGCGATTTTTAACTTTTTGTTTTTGATAGGTGTGGTTGCTTCGATTTTTATTTTGATAGCATGTGACCGAGTGGAGTTGGTGGATTAATCGATTAAATCTTTTATGATTTGCAATATCAACGGCATGGCTCTGTCTTTATATAGCTTTTTAAAATTTGTTGTAAGTTTATTGCATTTTTCCTTCTCTTTAGTTAATATCTTTAACTGTTTCCTTCTCATGCAATCACGTTAAGTTGCTTCCCATATCAACTGGAAAGTCAATTTCATCTTTCAGTTATTTGGTGTTAGTTAAAATAATCGGTTTTTATGGTAATTAGGTTTTAAAATCAAATTTATTACAGTTTGCACCTGCGTTGTTCATAAAAGATGCCATCTTCTAGTTGTTACAAAGTGTCCAGGAATGAAAGATGAGGTAAATATTTCGAATACCTGAATCAGAACAAGCAATAGAAATATTTTTTTTTGCGAGCTATGTATTGGAAATATTAGAAAATATTGACCAACAAAGCAATAACAATTAAAACTATAATTTGAGCAAACACGAATGTGGCCTTGTTGAATATAAAATACGTTGTTTGTTTTTTCAGTCTAGTCAACAAAGTACAAGATTTAATGTGAATGTGCCGCACCGTTTCGTAGTCCACAATTACAAAAGATTCACATTTTGTGACCATTGTGGTTCGTTATTGTACGGTTTAATCCGTCAAGGACTCCAGTGTGAAGTTTGTTCCTTAAACGTGCACAAACGTTGTCAAAAAAATGTAGCAAATAACTGTGGGATTAACACGAAGCAGATGGCAGAAATTCTTTCAGCGATCGGTATACAAACTAGTTTCCTGTTTTTTCGTTATTATTTCAATTACTGTTGCTTTGAGCAGGTGTTTCCCCGGACAAACAAACGCCTAGGAGGAGTAAATACGTATCAGGATCAGGAGCGAATGGCGCGAATTATGAAGGCCAGTCGGAGAATCAAGCCCCGGAAGACGAAATGGAAAACACTGATGAACGGTTGACTAAAATGATGGAGGAGAAAATGGCTAACAATGGTAGGTTTTTATCAAACGGAAACAATGAGAAAATGCTTTGTTGTTTTAGGGGGAGATGGCGCTGAGCGTAAAGGCAAATCGAAGATAGGTTTAGAAGACTTCAACTTTATCAAAGTCTTAGGCAAAGGGAGTTTTGGAAAAGTGATGCTGGCCGAGAAGAAAGAGACCGATGAAGTATACGCTGTGAAAGTATTAAAAAAAGATGTGATTATTCAAGACGACGATGTCGATTGCACAATGACAGAGAAACGTATTTTGGCCTTAGCCGCCAAACATCCCTTCCTAACAGCACTCCATTCGTGCTTTCAAACAAAAGATCGCTTATTTTTTGTTATGGAATACGTAAATGGCGGCGATTTGATGTTCCAAATCCAAAGAGCGCGAAAATTTGACGAGCCACGAGCCAGATTTTACGCTGCTGAGGTTACTTTAGCTTTACAATTTTTGCACAAGCATGGGGTTGTTTATAGAGATCTCAAGTTAGATAATATTTTATTAGACGCTGAAGGCCACTGTAAATTGGCCGATTTCGGAATGTGTAAAGAAGGGATTTTGGATGGGATTACCACTACGACCTTTTGTGGCACTCCTGACTACATCGCACCGGAGATCCTTCAGGTACTTATAATTTTTCTTCAAAAAAAAAAAAAAAACAAACTAATTATGATTTCTGTCCAGGAACTGGAATATGGCGCTAGTGTTGACTGGTGGGCTTTGGGCGTCTTAATGTATGAGATGATGGCTGGACAACCCCCTTTCGAGTCCGACAATGAAGACGATTTGTTTGAATCAATTTTGCACGATGATGTGTTATATCCGGTCTGGTTGAGCAAAGACGCTGTTAGTATATTGAAGGGCTTCATGACAAAAAATCCCAGTCGGAGGTTGGGGTGTGTGACAGCCCACGGGGGCGAGGCTGCAATCAGGGTGCATCCCTTTTTTAGAGACATCGACTGGAATGCGTTGGAACAGAGAAAAGTGAAGCCACCCTTTAAACCTAAAATTGTGAGTTTTACACTTGTGCGAATGTGGATTAATTGTTGTTTTACAGAAGAGTAAGAAGGATGCCTTGAACTTTGACGCCGAGTTCACGAAGGAAGAGCCAGTTTTGACACCGGTGAGCAATGAAGTGCTGCATTCTATCAACCAAGAAGAATTCACGGGTTTCTCATTTATCAACAGAGAATTCAATCCTTCACGCTTCGTCGCTGAATAACTTTGCCACATCCATTTATCCTTTCTTGTTGTCCCCTTAGTTGAAATAATCGCGACTCGGGTTAACCGAAAGCTTGAAAGCTTTAATTTTTGTAAAAATTAGAAAGAAATGCGCTAGTACTCATTAAATAATGTTATTAATGCAATGTTTATTTTATGGAACAAAGTTTATTTGATTTATTGCAGTTAACAGAGTTTATTTAAATTTGATCTGATGTAAGTTTTAAGTTTCTAATTGCTAAGAGAAACAAATGTATCAGTATGGGCCCCATCTCATTGCAGCTGAATTATCAGAATTTTGCGTATCGTTTAGGGGTAGTTCGAATATTGTGAAGTGGGGTTACTTGGAGTTTCTGTGATTTTACGCTGAGACGCCAGATTTACTGTCTTAACTCTAGTCACTGAATGGCCTATGCTCTGTAAATATCAAAAGAGTAAAACACGCAAGTCGGTCGAGGTTGGCCACTATAATGTTAAGTATTTGTAATTTTAATTAAATTGACGCACTTTCTGCAGAAGCCTTATTGCAGTTTGTTCTCCCCCGGCCGTACTTGCTTTTCACGAGGACTCATTCATACAGTATCGTCATTATTTTTAAATTATCTTTTGTATTGTGATATTGTGGGAATTTGCAATAGATTTAGGCCGTTGTGCCTAATTTTGTTTATATTTAAAAAAAAAGTTCAACAGAGGTTGCGAACCTATAAATACGTTTCTCGCTTGGACGGCGACCCGCACTAGACAGAAATATATATCACTTTTCAACGTAACACACAAACACACGTATGATATACGTGTTAGGGAAATGTGCATTATTTTAAGAGAGCTTAAGTAGGTTGTTTACGATTTACCAAAGAATTTTATTTATTACTTTTTAACGAGATACATGTGTAAATGTTGATACTATATAGTTTATGTAGGAGAATAATTTATTTTGTTGGCTGCGTGAGCGGATTTTCGCATTGTCTCAGGACTGATCTTTGCAAGATTTGAGTGTGTGCGAGCCCCAACATGTTAGTTGAGATTTTATCACAAATGACACAAAGTGTTGTTTTGAGTTTCATCTGCCATATAACTAAGCTATCTAGAGAACGTTCAGCTACATTTCGAGGAAATGTACATATTGTTAAAAGTAAAAGAAAAAGTATATAACGTTTTAGATATTTATTAATGTGGAGCTTAGAGTAGTAGGTAAATAAATAAAATTAACCCATGCTAATTTTAGTGTATGTCTAGATAATATCTATATCACAGGTCTGTGTTAGCACCGAGCTGTTCAAGAAGTACCTACTTGAGGTAGGCAGTGTAGATTATTTAGTTCTCTAGTAGAGCCTCAGTCTCACTCGTTCGTTCGGTTTTTGCCGTGAAGGCGCGTGCTTGCATACGGTGTTGTGCCAAACCATGTCCACCCTAACCCGCAGCCTTTCCGCACCTCCACCAATGTCAAAACCCCACTCTCGCATTGTTATTGTTTATATCATATTTGTACTAGCAATGTGTTGTAAATGGTGTACCTATTTCTCTGACGGTGTACTAAAAATTATAAATAAACATTATTTAATGTAGTGAACTTTATTTACAAAAAATACTCCGTTACACAAAACTTTTGCGCGAATAGCCATCAGAGGCCGCTCATATAATAAAAAAATCTTTCTGATTTTAAGCCAGCCAGAATTTTTCTTTTCAATAGAACGTTAAATAATTATTAAAGTGACATTTTTGTATTTTAAATCTGTGATTACTCCATCGGGAAGTACGTATTATTGTACTCAACTTATATTTTATTACTCTTATTACCAAGCATGTTGAAAAGCTTCACTTCGTTTACAATCTCAACGGCCAGAGTAATTTAAACAGACTTTAGATAATTTTCGTTTATGCACTCATATTTCTCCAAATAATGTAAGGTGTAAGCAGTTATTGATCGCCTGGGAGGTAACAAACTTACTACTAATAAGGCCCCCTCAGCAGATCATTTTTTAAGCATTTTACCCTGTTTTTAAGGTATATTTAAAAAACAGATATTTCAAAGATTCTGTCCTGTGAAATTGATGTAAAACTGTATTTATTAATAAATTAGGATTATATGCGATTTTGCTTTGTTTTTTAGGGATTTTACCCAAGATATACTTATATTTTAAAAGTAGAAGGCCCCTTCAGCACACACTTTACACCCCCATAACTTCGAAATTTTTATAGATAAAATTTTTTTACATTTTTCCCATGTTCCTGGTATCTTACCTTATATGGCATTTTTCTCTGGGGCGCGAGCTCTGGCGCACCCTATATACCTTAAAAACAGGGTAAAATGCTTAAAAAATGATCTGTGCTGAGGGGGCCTTATTAGTTGTAAGTTTGTTACCTCCCAGGCGATCAATAACTGCTTACACCTTACCTTAGTAGTAAACTTTGATTGAGTTTAAAAATAAGTGTGAGAATTTCAACACACTACAAAAGCTTCTTCGCCGACACTTCGTAAAAAATCACATCACGCTATAGTTAATAACTTACCCTGCTACGTAACTTGTTCTTACATCCCGCCTTTTTATCATACTAAGGTGAGTTAATAATATTATTTTTATCTAACATTGTTGTCATATAGGTTTTTTTTTTAATTTGAGACAACTAAAATATGCCTTACTGATATTATTGCTGTTAAGTGACCACTTTTATGACTAAATGGTACAAGTAAAAGTTTTACCTTTTAGCCATAGAGTAAAAAATTATATTTTTGCGCTTGTGTTTTTACTTTTACAATGGTCAATGACATTTGCCAATGTTGTCTCTTTCGCTGCTTCTGCAATATCTGGAGAGGTACATTGTAGATCATCAGCATTCGAGATTTTGCACTACTAACTGCACTAGTTAAATTATAAGCGTTGTTGTGATTTCATTGCAAAGCGTCCTGATCATTTTGTTCATTTACTTGCTAATTATAATGTTGCTCTTTACTCTCTCTCTTTACTTGAGTTTATGTGCCTCATGTAATACACATAATATACTATGTCATTTATGGACGTCGATATGAATTATTGGTTCAGAAAAAAGATTTTTTTTAATCCAAGCAAATCGATAAAAATCGCTGTATTTTTTGTCCTTATCTTACAAGGCTTTGTTGAAGTGGTATGTGATTTACTGATTTATCAACTGTTGAAGACTTTGCAATTTAATTAGTTGTAAAACTTAATTTTGGAGAAATTTATTAATCAATAGAAGTCAGGGCATAATATGGTTTTTCCAGAGATAGACCACAGGCTTCTAAAGCAAAAATAAACAAAAATAACTTGTTTTTTTGTTTTTCTTGTTTTTAAATTTACTATATTGAAATGGTTTTGGATGGAATTATTATATTATGAATTGCTCTCACTGAAAATCTGACATATTTTTTTAATTTCGCAAGTTATATGTGAAAAGAATTACTTAATTCTATCATGAAAAAAGAATTTATAACTAATAATAAAAAAATTAATATCGAATAACACTAAATTAATCATTACTTGTTTTTAACATAACGTGATTATTTTTTATTATTACTGAATTTTTGTGCGCTTATCGCCGCCACACTTCATGCAATTTAACAAAAGTCACCTTAAATCTTCATTGCACAACAATTTGCAAAAAATACCAATTTGTTAATTGAATTAAGTAATTTCATTTGTGTGTCAGGTATACAATTCCAAAACCTTGGAAACTTTTTAGAATTCATCTATTGACTCCAATTTATTGATTAAACAAAGGTAGTGCTATAGAAACTCTGTTTCTTTTTTGGAATGATAAAAGTCACAAAAGTGACACACAATGGCTTCGCATCAAATTAGCAATAAAAAATTGTATGAAGAGTTAAAATCGGCAATCGATGAAGACAAAATGTATTGGTTGAAAAACGATGCGAAATTGCGAGCTGTGAATTCATCAAAATCTTATGACGAATTCAGGTATCGCCCTTTATTCCTTTTGAAATATTTGCTAAAAGTTTATTTTTGCTTAGAGATATTGTAGCAGCCGCTCATTTGCAGCCTGTTACCAAAAAGGATAAGGAACGCAATCAACGCAGTTGGAAAACTTTGACTGATAGTGATTAAAACAAATAATTTTCGAAAAATTCTATTAAACAGAAGTAATTAGAACAATGTTTTAATCTAAATTATATCAATAATAACTATCCCAAAACCACGATAAAAATATTAGAAACATTTTCTTCCTATAGTAGAAATGTAAAAATATAGCAAACTTATTGGGTTGCAAAATTTCCAAGAAAACCCTATTTCCTTGGCTGTTGGATGTGGTTCATTGGCTTGCTGGGAACATTATTTGGAGGCTTTTCCTTGTGAAAACTTTGTACTGCTTCAGCAGGGAAGTCAGCATGTCCTTTGGGAACAGCCCCAGAAATGGTGGTTGTCTTAGGGGGGCTTCCGGAAATTGTGATTCCAGTGGTGTCCTCAGTGAGACCTCCAGAATCCTTTCTGGTTTTGTGTTGCGTGATTCTCATCCCTCCAGCTTTGACTGTCGCAATATGCTGGAGTTATCACAAGGGGGTGTTTTTGTCAGACTCACCTGCAGGGGGATGGCCGGCTTTTAATTCACATTCGCTCTTGCTAGGGCTTGACATCTTGGAGCAATATGTTGCAATGTAAACAAAAACACGTAGTCAAACGCGTCGACCTTCAACTGCGACGTATTATTTTTACTCACTCTGCTTTTATCAATGTTTTTATGCTAATTTTAATATTTGTGGTGAGAAACCTTCAAAAACAAATTGACCTGCATAACAGAGGGCGCTACTTAACCAAATTGACAGACAGATTTTAAGTGCTTAAAAAAACAAGTTATTATGCAAGAATTTTATTTGTACCTACGGTGTTATATTTAGATAAATCTAGTTTGATAAGAATGAATAAAAAAGTGGATTTGGTGGGTTCGAAATGTAAACTAATTTGGGTAATTTTGGGCTTGGTCATGATATTACAGATTTCTGTAACGACACATTGATTTATAGGTTATAAAAACGTGGAGTTGAAGTGTCAAATATAACATATTTATGAAAAAAGAAACTAAACTATTTTAAGACTAAAATAGTGTGACGGTAAGAAGATGGTTTTACTAGAAAACGACTCGGTAATACATCTGTGCTTCTGTACCTCCAAGTGTTTATTAACCTAAAATTTCTTTCAGTTCCTCACAGAACTCACCAAATTGTTTCAGAAAGCCAGACAGAGTGGCTCTGTCACAATGATTTTCAAGCGATGTAAGTGCCAAGGGTTGTGAAATGAATTGTTTTATGCATTTTTTCCTTAGATGATGGCCGGGACCGTCCAGAACCAAGGGAAGGTAAACCTCCTCTACCTACACCTCAAGAACACCTTTGTTTAGTAAGAGCAAAGTCTAGGTCAAAAAAAATTTCAACAGTGATTCACCAAAAGGACATAAATAAATTTCAAGTAGCTTATAGCAGTTTATTAAAAGGAAATTTGGATGGACTGAAAAAATTAAAGAAGTCAAAAACAAAAACGAAAGCTGAGTGATTAGGAGATTTTTGTGTTTATTTTTTATTTCTGGGGTCGGAATCGCGTGTACAGACGGATAGGATAAGAAAGTTCATTGTGTTGATTGAGTATTTGTAAAATGTATGAAATTAATGTTAATTTTGTAAGCTTTTATTTTTCATTTCAATAAAAAATAAGCAGCTAGTATATTTTATTATTTCTCTCCTATTCAATATCCTAAATGTGTAAACTTCTCTTTTCTAGCTCTACTATTGGCTATTTTAATATAAATCACAATTTCAACTAAATCTCAGCGGCGAATTTGTAAATTAACCAACGATTTTGGCTTATTGACTTAAAATTGTTAAAAAAACTAGCTGGATAATATAAAAACCATCATTCTATTAATACAAAACAACCAATACTTTAGCTAGTTCATAAAATAAACAACCACATTTATGTGGATGATGCTAATTTGATCACTTATTATGAAGTATGATTTAACTAAAAAAAAATGGAATTTCTAATTTTTTATTATTAAACAAAAAATTTAACAAGTATAATACATGCGGTCCAGCTTAAAAAATCTTTCTTTTTTGTCTTTTTTTCTGTATTAAATTTTGCATATGGTGCGGCATTTGCTTGGATATTTTTTTTGAAAAATTACATAAAAATATTTAGAAGGTTCATGGGTAATTATGAAATGAAAAAACTACTGCAAGGGACTTAATTTTTAGTATGCTATTTTTAATTTAAATTGTACTACTTAACAAATAGTATGTAGTGTGATTACAAAAATATAAGAAAAATAAATAAATCAACACTTGTTTAAAAATTACATTTGTTGCACCGAGGGACTCTTCATATTAAAATAAGGACACTGCTGCTTCCAAAACGGAGTTACTTTGCCGGAAGTATCGATACAGTTGTTTGCACAACTCAGAAGAGCTTGATATTTGTAACATTTATCACACGTTAAAATGCATAGATCAGTAGCATCCAAAAATATTTCAGGACGAGCTTCTAAAGAACTCAAAAGTAATAACACCGCCGCTGTGATAAACAATACGTTGAACGATCCTAAAAGATTAATAATAATTACCACTGGACGACAACATTTAATTATTGAGCATGTTACTTACTCATTTTGTAAGATATTACTGGTAAGCAGCTTATACACCTGTTGTCTCCTAAATGAACGACAGGATTTTCGATGATGTTATCAGAGCTTATTCGAGATAGGTCTGTTTTATATACTCGTACAGATCTCAATCGATGAGTTAATTATTACCAATATGGCAAATAAATAACTAATAGCTCTGCAATAGTGCTATTAAAGCCATTATTTTCTGTACAAACTATGACGATATAATGGGCGATAATGGAAAAAAATGTATATGCCTGATCCATCACAAGCAATTTGTCTTTTTATTAAGTTAACAATGTTTTAATGAAACGGAAATATTTTCTGTTATTTGTGTCGTAACTAAGCAAGAAAAGAATTGCCTAATTAAAATTAACGTTAATTTTTCTGAACGCTTGTCACTGATTATAAATAATAGCTTGAACACGAATACATGATGTGTGCAAAATCTAAATTGGAAATCTATCATTTCTAGCAAATTTGGAATTTCCACTAAAAAACGAGTGTGAGCTCAGATGATGATTTTTACTGGAAGTGTGATAATAATCTATCAAATATAGTATTTTTTAGTCTCTGGCAATATTTAGTTATATCACAAGTTATAAGGGATAATGAGGGTTGAGTGTAGAGAACTACGAAATGCTACTAAGCTAATGGTTTGTCATTTGTTGCTAAAACTATAGAGTTATGTTGGAAACTCTGAGTAAAGTAATTAAGGATAACACTTCTGTGTCTGCATCTACTGATTTTGACCCTCTTTCTCTATTTCTTAAGGGTAGGTAATATTTTAAAAAAACGGGACGATTTTGATGATGTAAAACACATTTTTTTTAATATAGTAAAGTGCCGAAATTAATAGTTGGCTGTTATTGTTGTTATTTATAACTATTAAAAAAAGAAGAACTATTACATTTTTATTAGTTACGTCGTTCCGAGAGGGAAATCTGATATAATTTTTCCCATTTGTATTTTAGGACAGTAAAAACTATAACGCAATTTAGAATGTCGTGTTATGGCAAAGGCGAGAGCTTTTAAGTTTGAAAAAAATTACATGCGTCACTATGAATTCTAAAAGGTTTTCAGAAGGAAAAAATGTATGAAAAATTGTAGAAAGTCAAACATCGGCTTTTAGATTTCTGTGTACTTTAAGCAAAAACATTGTAGATGCAAATCGCGTATTCAGACAGAGCTTATTGTGTGTCTGGAAGTCTTTCTGAAAAGCTCGTTTGCAGCACAGCTTGAAAACCTGAGGTAATTAAGCTGAAGATTGACTTGTCAGAGGACAAAGTTATTTCGTAATTTTTTGTTTATGTTCTGATCCCGACTCCGTGTCAGCTAATGGAGAGATAGTGAAGCCTTCCATGAATTACGTTATCGCCTCATAATCGCAATTGTGATTACGCCCACCTTAACAAAGTGCCTGTAATTGTTGAGCAAGCAAACCCTTCAAAAGTTCTGCTTTGTGAAAGCATCCATCACTTATCTCCCGCAAACCAGACGTTTTTAAATAATGCATCACATACATTAAACACATTTGTGTCACTTCCTACACTTTTCCACAAATTTAATTTGGAAAAGCTTTCCAAATGTTGGGTACCAACACTGAATAAATTAAAGCCCACGTTCAACAGCAGCTCATTGCACAAAAATTGAAATCTTTTCATTTTATATTCTGTCAGCAAAAATTTTTAATTTGTAATTATGTAAAATTATTATTATTGTATTTATTTATTAATAAAGACACTTCAGCGATGTCAGTTTAATTAAATTAATTAAAATAAAATGTGTGCTGGAGTGAAGGATCTTTATTTGATCGTGGGGCCACTCGACGTCTTTTACACATGTTGCAAACCACCTCTTGGTGTCAATCAAGAACACTACGAATCGCTATCGATCGCGGTAGCCGTCGGTTGCTTAGTGAGCTGTTTATTATTATCAAACAGACCGTTAAAGGTCTGACAAGTGTTCAAACTTTTTTAAAAACTTCTGTAGTTAAATGGCCGAAGATGATACCAAGTCTACTAAATCAACTAAGTCGACAAAGTCCACCAAATCCAAGAAAGAAGATAAAGGTGGCGAAGAAGAAGAAGATGAACGTCTTGAGTTTATCCTCGCTTATTTCACAAAATCCTACAGACTTAAACAAGAAAAGTGGAATAAAATGATCGCAATAGACGAAAATAAGGTAGTTATTCACTTTTATTGAATCATTTTAAACAGTATTTTTAGAAACTCATTTTAAATTTTCTGAACAACCCTCAAGAAAAATTTATGATTATAACAATAACCGCAGCAGGTTTGCTGACTCCTTTTAAACAATACAACAGCGCTGTAAGATCCAAATATACTTATTTTATTAAAAAGAAAGAGGAAGTCGTGACTATGGAAAATTTCGCTGATGTTATTCTTTTTGGTGACATGGCTGCAAAACCGGTGGACGAATTAGCTGTCCTTTTAGATACAATCTTAATCCCTTTACTTGCAAACCCCGGAAATCAGAAAGGATGGCCACAGGTGGTTGCAGACGACGTTGTCGCGCATGTCCGGAATTTTAAAAACTCAGTCGAACAAGTAAAGAACTTTTTTGCTATCATCTATCCAATCATTTATTTTAGATTCGAGGAGCAATGAAAAGTCAAACAATTTTGCCGATGCCACAAGGCATGTCACGTCTCTTCGAAGCAATAAGCCAATTTGAGGAAACAGAAGGTACTAACATCGATTTGGTCCTGAAAGCTTCTCTCGAAAGTGGTGTCACGAAATGGTCAAACGTTTGCAGCGAGATTTTGAAACAGTCGTCTACTATTGCTTTCGCAGGAGGAAATAATCCGTCACCAAGTGCCGAAGTTGAATTCTGGAAAGCTCGTTTGAAAAATCTAGAATTTATTTATGATCAATTGCGAGATCCTAGAGTGAAGCAAGTTGGCAAATATTTAGAAATGACCAAAAGTGCGTATTTTTCAACCTTCAAAAATATGTTTAAAGACGTAGTTGCTGGTGTTATTGAAGCCAGAGATATTTGTTTGTATTTGAAACCAATGGTGCCTCATTTTTCGAATTTTGAAGACGGAGAGTTGTTCGAAAATGAACGCAATATCAAGCCTTTGCTCCACTGCATGGGGTTGATTTGGGCCAACTCAAAGTACTACTGCGCTAATGAGAAAATGGTGATTCTGTTTAGAGAAATAGCCAATATGTTAATCGACGCCAGTAATCGTATGTTGGACCCAAGCTCAATTTTTCAAGGGGAACCTGACGAAATGCACGACAAGATTGATAAAACATTACACATTTTGGAGCTTTTTATGGACTCGTTCGAGTTTGTTAGAGACAATTTGGCTACTTACTTTAAAAGAGAAGATGAAGAAATGCCGGCACTTTGGACGTTTCATAAAAGGACAGTGTTTCAAAGATTGCTCGATTTTATTGATCGTCTGAGACTAATCAAAGCAATTTTGGCGACTAATCTAGAATTCAGCAAGTTGGAAAAAGTTGAATTTGGTGGGATCAAAGGCCGGTTGTTGTCCCAAAAATGTGAACAAATTTTTGAAGAGTTTGGTGCTGCTTATAATGTTTTTAATTCGATTCAGTATGATCCTTGTGACACCAGTGACCTTAATATTCTCCAAGATAATGACGAATTTCACGCAAAATGTGCCGATTTTGACAAACGATTGGCAGCGATATTCTCTCAGGCTTTCGATGATTGCTACAACCTCGAGAGCATTTTTAAATTTCTTGCAATCATCGGGAATTTGCTTGAAAGGTCTGTTATTAGAAACGAAATAACTCCTAAATATCCAGCAATTATTGATATATTCAATGAAGAACTTGATACGGTAAAAATCATTTTTGATGAAGGCAAAAAGAATGGTATTCCTATCGATAAAAATTTTCCTCCGGTAGCTGGAACCCTTATGTGGATATCAAAATTGAGGCAAAGGATTGAAAAACCGGGAGAAGATTTGAAATTATTAGAAGATGATATAATCAAGTCGGAGGAGGCTCTTCACTCGTTTGAAAAATATGAACACATGATGAGAATTTTAGATAATGAAAGCAAGGAAGTGTTTGGAAATTGGTGTAAATCAATTCCGCAACAAATTGAAACTAGTATGGCTAAATTTGAACTTAAACGTAAACCTGAGGATTTGATTCATTTAAATTTTGATGCTGAACTAGTAGCCGCTTTGAGAGAAATTAAGTACATGAAGTTCTTAGAGATTCCGGATATACCTCAAGAGGGGCTAGATTTGTTCGAAAAAGTTGAACTTCTGTTTGAATGTCAACAGAAATTTAACAGAGTTGTCGATTGGTATAATCATCTCAAGAAGAATACACTTAGGGTAGAGTATAATTTAATTGAACCGGAAATGAAACAAATAGATGAGCTGCTCCAATCAGTAATTGATGCTATTACTTGGAGTACTCATGATGATGCAACTCTTAGCTCGATTTATGATAAAGTTAAGGATTTGTCGGATCGAGTTGTTCAATGTCAGAAGAACATGGCTGCTATAATAGCCACCTTGGATGCCTGGGTTGACGTTCCTCTTTTTGAAAGAAGAGAAGGTAAAAAAGAGAATTTATTGTATCCTGAAGAACGGCCTGAACGTACTTCCAAACGATTTGCTCAAATTGAAAATAGCTACGAAGAAATTAAAAATCTACTAGAAGTAAATTATCGATTGTTCTTTAATATTCCTGAGCCTGTTGAAGAACCAATTGATGAGTCGTCTCCTGAAGAAGAAGTAGTCACTGAGCCACCACCTACACCAAAGAAAGGTAAGAAAGGGAAGAAGACTGCCGAGCCACCGAAAGAAAAGGAGAAAGAGATAAAAGAAAAAGGGAAGAAGGAGAAAGGAAAAAAAGGTGGAAAAGGCAAAAAAAAGAAGCAAAAAGTGCTTGAAGACGCCGAAGCTGAGGTGCAGGAAGAACCTGCAGATCCTTATGAGAATTATCGTAAAGAAAACTGGAGCAAATATTTGGAATATGTTGATAAACTAGTCAAAGACAAACTTGTTGCTGCAGTTAATAACAGTTTGATTTACTTGTTAAATGAGTCTGGTGACGTTACTCCAGTTACACCTTTGTTTGAATTGTCTTTAGAACTTCACGATCCCGATATTGTGTTTCAACCTTCGGTTAATTTGACAGATGAAAATAATTTCATTGGAGAAATAACCGGATGTGTGGAAGATATTTTCAAAATGGGTGAAGTTATGAAACGAGTGAATCCGGAAAGTGAGGAGTTGAATTACTTTATGGAAGTCAAATCGGATAAAAATTTGGCTAAAATGACTGAAGAACTTTTGAGCAGAATTATGTTAATGAGAGAAGATGCATTTGAATATCTTAAAGATTTTGACGAATTTACTCATATTTGGACTGATGACAGGCACGAGTATTTGCGTCAGTTTTTGCTTTTTGGTCGGTTATTGAGTCCTGAGGAACTCGATAGAATCGCAGAACTAAAAGAAACTCCACCGTCTGTACAACAGTTTAAGGAGCAAATTGATTTTTATGACGATATGTATAAGAAAGTTGAAGCTATGAGCAATGAAAAGATTCTTGAAGGTGACTGGATGAGAATTGATGTTCGACCTTTGAAACAAGCTATCCTTAACACGATTTGCAAATGGGGCAATCTTTTCAAACAACATCTTTACGATCATGTTATTAATAGTCTCAATGATCTCGATAGCTTCATCGTTGAGGCAATTCAAGCCATGCAAGTGACATTAGAGGAAGACGACTACGATGGCTTATTAAAAGTGATGGGATATTTGTTCAAAGTGAAGGAAAGACAGTTAGAAACCGATAATATGTTCCAGCCATTAAAGGAAATTATGGATCTGCTATTAGAATATGGAATGGAATTTCCGGAAGACGTTCACGTTCAATTACAGGAAATTCCAGACAGGTGGCAACAATGTAAGAAAGTTGCCGCAACCACTAAACAAAACGTTGCACCACTTCAAGCCCTCCAAGTTAATGCGATCAAAAGACGAATTAATCTGTTCGAAATCCGACAAGCGATGTACAGAGATATGTTTAAGAAACTTCCCTTCTTTAACTGGAGTTGTAAAGATGTATACACTTTGTTAGATAAAACTAATTTTGAACTGACGGAACTTGAGACAGAAATGGCGAAATTGCAAGAGCAAGCCAATTTATTCGAACTAACGCTGCCTGAGTTTAAACCGATGAATTATACGAGGAAGGAAATTAGGCAAATTAAACAGTTGTGGGATTACGTCCATATTTTTCGGTCATGTATCGATGAATGGAAGAAAACTCCTTGGAAAAAAATTGACGTTGAAGCGATGGAAATGGAATGTAAAAAATTCGGTAAAGAGGTGCGAGCTATGGATAAAGAACTAAGGGGTTGGGACGTTTACATTCAGTTAGAGGCGTCAATCAAGAATATGTTAACGTCTTTGCGCGCCGTCACAGAATTGCAAAATCCAGCAATTAGGGAAAGACATTGGAAGCAGTTGATGCAAGCCACAAAGGTAATTTTCTTGCACTTATCCATAAAAGACGTGCTTTAAACTCTTACTTTGTTACACTGCTTACATAAGGCCGAAGAACGACTACCACCACATTATACAGTGAGTACAGTCTCAACAACATAACTCTTTTATACAACATTCAAATAAAACAATTTAGTAAAAAGAGTCTTTAAATTTCAACCCTTCCTTCTTCCTAGGTGAAATTTGTAATGGACGATTCGACAACACTCAGCGAATTGCTCGCCTTGAATTTACACGAGTATGAAGATGAAGTTAAGAACATTGTTGATAAGTCAGTTAAGGAAATGGCAATGGAGAAAGTTTTAAAAGAACTAAACGCAACTTGGACCAACATGATGTTTGCAACCGAAGTTCACGAACGCACAAATTTGAGACTTTTGGTGGCTTCTGAGGAGTTAATTGAGACTTTGGAAGAAAACCAAGTCGCTCTTCAAAATATGATGACGTCTAAATTTATTGATTTCTTTCTTGAAGAGGTTTCCGATTGGCAGAAAAAACTATCGAATGCTGATCAAGTCATACAAGTGTTTTTTGAAGTACAACGCAAGTGGTGTTATTTGGAAAGTATTTTCATAGGTTCTGAAGACATTAGAAGTCAATTACCCGAAGATTCGAGACGGTTTGAGAAAATAGATAGGGATTTTAAAGAGGTTTTGTCTGAAATGTTAAAAGATTTAAATGTGGTAAGATCCACTAATAAGCCCGGACTTTACGACAAGCTTGATGGTATTTTGGGACAATTGACATTGTGCGAGAAAGCTCTCAACGATTATTTGGAAACGAAAAGATTGGCATTTCCGCGGTTCTATTTTGTATCTTCCGCTGATTTATTAGATATTTTGTCAAATGGAAATCAACCAGATTTGATTCAGAGACATTTAACCAAATTATTTGATTCTTTGGCTAAATTGAAATTTGAAAAAGAAGGTGGAAAAAATTCAAAAAGGGCTTTTGGTATGATTTCGAAAGAAAATGAAGAACATGTACAATTTAGCCAAATATGTGACTGTACTGGTAAAGTTGAAGTTTGGCTAAACCGTGTCATTGATGTAATGAGGAAGACTCTTCAAAGTTGTTTTGCTGAAGCTATATCAACCTACGATGAAAAGCCTCGAGAAGTTTGGATTTACGACTATCCAGCACAACCAGCGCTTTGCGGTACATTTTTATTCTTCCTGTATGTTTTATAATATTTTTGTAATTTGTAGGCACTCAAATTTGGTGGACAACTGAAGTAAATATTGCTTTTGCAAGACTAGAGGAAGGTTACGAAAACGCCCTGAAGGACTATCAAAGAAAACAAATCAATCAGTTAAATGCCCTTATTAATTTATTGTTGGGCGATTTGACTGCAGGTGAGCGTCAAAAAATTATGACCATTTGTACCATCGACGTTCACTCGAGAGACGTAGTGGCAAAAATGATTCTAATCAAAGTCGAAAATTCACAAGCTTTTCAATGGCAAAGTCAGTTGAGACATCGATGGGATGATAAAATTAAAGACTGTTTTGGTAATATTTGTGACGCACAATTCAGATATCAATACGAATACTTGGGCAACACTCCTCGACTCGTGATAACGCCTTTAACTGATCGTTGTTACATAACTCTTACTCAAAGTTTGCATTTAATAATGGGGGGAGCACCTGCCGGGCCTGCAGGAACTGGAAAAACTGAAACGACCAAAGATTTGGGAAAAGCTTTAGGTATGATGGTGTACGTGTTTAATTGCTCGGAACAAATGGACTACAAATCTATCGGCAACATTTACAAGGGGTTATCACAGACCGGTTGTTGGGGTTGTTTTGATGAATTTAACCGAATTTCCATTGAGGTACTGTCTGTGGTAGCTGTTCAAGTGAAAGTCATTCAAGACGCTATCAAAGACAAAAAAAACAGGTTTAATTTTTTGGGCCAAGATATCGTCCTTGTTCCCACGGTAAGTACTCTAATTTTAAAATGATTTGGATACAAGTGCAATTTTTTTAATAGGTGGGTCTTTTCATTACTATGAACCCGGGCTACGCTGGTCGTACTGAACTCCCGGAAAACTTAAAAGCCCTATTTAGGCCATGCGCCATGGTGGTGCCTGACTTTGCTCTAATTTGTGAAATTATGTTGGTCGCTGAAGGTTTCCAAGAAGCTCGACTTTTGGCGCGCAAATTTATCACTCTTTACACTTTGTGTCGCGAATTATTGAGCAAACAAGACCATTACGATTGGGGTTTGAGGGCAATTAAGTCTGTTTTGGTCGTTGCAGGGTCGTTGAAACGTGGCGATAGACAACGGCCGGAAGACCAAGTCTTAATGCGCGCTTTGCGTGATTTCAACATTCCTAAAATAGTTACAGACGACGTCCCGGTTTTCATGGGATTGATTGGTGATTTGTTTCCGGCCTTGGACGTGCCAAGAAAACGCGACCCGGAGTTTGAAAGAATGATAAAAAAGTCGGCGGTTGATTTGAAATTGCAACCTGAGGATGGTTTTGTTTTGAAAGTGGTGCAATTGGAGGAACTTTTTGCGGTGCGACATTCAGTGTTCGTGATTGGTAACACTGGAACGGGTAAAACTATGGTTTGGAAGACTTTGAATAAAACTTATCAGAATCAGAAAAGAAAGCCCGTTTACAATGACATTAATCCTAAAGCAGTGACTAATGATGAGTTGTTTGGAGTTATAAATCCAGCTACTAGAGAGTGGAAAGATGGTCTCTTTTCTGTGATAATGAGAGATCAAGCTAATTTAACCGGTGATGGACCTAAATGGATTGTTCTTGATGGTGACATTGATCCAATGTGGATTGAATCATTAAATACACTTATGGACGATAATAAAGTTCTAACTTTGGCTAGTAATGAACGAATAGCTTTAACACCAGCTATGCGATTATTATTCGAAATTGCTTCTCTACGTACAGCAACTCCAGCCACTGTTTCCAGAGCCGGTATTTTATACATAAATCCGGCAGATCTGGGATGGAACCCTTACGTAGCCTCTTGGATTGATACAAGAACTCAACAAAATGAAAAAGCAAATCTTATGATACTCTTTGATAAATACGTTCCTCCTTGCTTGGAAGTACTCCGTCACAAATTGAAAAAAATAACACCCATATCTGAAGTGGCACACATTTCAATGCTTTGTTTCCTTTTGGACTGTTTCCTAACACCGCAAAATGTACCTCCTGATTGTCCCAAAGAGTGGTACGAAATTTATTTTGTATTTTCTACAGTCTGGGCTTTTGGTTCGGCTTTGTTTCAAGATCAGATCGTTGACTGGCGAAACGAATTTAGTAAATGGTTTGTGAATGAATTCAAAACTATCAAATTTCCCGTTACTGGAGGCAACGTCTTCAGTTATTACGTTGAAGAGGAGACTAAAAGATTTGCTCCATGGACTGAACTAGTACCCGAATTTGAATTGGATCCTGATATTCCCTTGCAAGCAACTTTGGTCAATACGGCCGAAACTACAAGAATTCGTTTTTTTATGGATCACTTGATGGCAAAAAGAATTCCTGTTATGTTGGTAGGACCTGCAGGGAGTGGCAAAAGTGTAATTGTGGCAGAAAAACTTTCCAACTTATCTGAACATTATGCCGTTACTAATGTTCCCTTCAATTTTTATACGACTTCTGAAATGTTGCAAAGAATATTAGAAAAGCCTTTAGAAAAGAAAGCAGGGCGTGTGTTTGGCCCTCCGGGTAATAAAACCATGATTTACTTTGTCGACGATATGAATATGCCGGAAGTTGATAAATATTTTACTGTGCAACCTCACACTTTGATACGCCAGTATATGGATTACCAACATTGGTATGACCGTCAAAAACTGACTTTGAAAGACATTCACAACGTGCAGTTTGTCTCGTGCATGAATCCAACTGCCGGTTCTTTTACCATAAACCCCAGATTGCAAAGACACTTTTGTGTTTTTGCCGTAAGTTTTCCAAGTCAAGAGGCATCAAACCATATTTATCACAGTATTATATCGCAACATTTTGATTCGGAACACAACAGGTTTAGCAGAAATATTTTTAAACTGAGTGCTTCTTTAGTAGATGCGGCGGTTTTCCTCCACCAAAAAGTAGCGACAACTTTTCTCCCAACTGCGGTTAAGTTTCATTACACGTTTACTTTGAGAGATCTTTCGAATATCTTCCAAGGAATGCTTTTTGCGACCGGAGATGCTATTAAAAATCAGACCGATTTAATTCGACTTTGGATGCACGAATGTGGCAGAGTTTATGGTGATAAACTTGTAGAAAAACGCGACTTGGATACTTACAAAAAGTTGGTAATTGAATCAGTGAAGAAAAGTTTCGAGGAATTGGATGAAAATGAGGTGTTTGAGGAACCTTTGATATTTTGTCATTTTGCTGAAGGCATGGGTGATCCTAAATATTTCCCCATTCGTGAATTTGATCATTTGAGTAAACTTTTGCACGAAGCTTTGGCCGGTTATAATGACCTAGTAGCTGCGATGAATTTGGTGTTGTTTGAAGACGCAATGTATCACATTTGCCGCATTAACAGAATTATGGAAGCTCCAAGAGGTAACGCACTGCTAATAGGGGTTGGAGGTTCAGGAAAACAATCTTTGACGAGACTTGCTTCTTTTATCTCCTCATTTGAAGTGTTTCAAGTTCAGTTAAAGAAAGGTTACAGTATGACTGACTTAAAAGCCGACTTGGCCCAATTATATCTAAAAGCAGGACTGAAAAGTGTTGGAATTGTATTTCTAATGACTGATGCTCAAGTCCCTCAAGAAATTTTCCTGGTTGCGATTAATGATATGTTGGCATCGGGAGAAATCAGTGAGTTACTGCCAGATGAAGATGTTGAAAATGTTATAAACACAGTTAGAGGCGAGGTAAAGCAAAGTGGGCTACAAGATACAAGAGAAAACTGCTGGAAATTTTTTATTGATCGTGTGAGAAGATTGCTGAAAACGGTTTTGTGTTTTTCACCAGTTGGTTCCACCCTCAGAGTGCGTGCTAGAAAATTTCCGGCTATTGTTAATTGTACTTCTATAGATTGGTTTCATGAATGGCCAAGGGAAGCTCTGGAATCAGTATCAAAGAGATTTTTAGCAGAAATTGAAGTTCTTCCTAAAGATCTCGTTCCTTCAGTGTCTAACTTTATGTCAGATGTTCACGGAGTGGTAAACACCATGTCGGAGTTATATCTACAAAATGAAAAACGCTACAATTATACAACTCCAAAATCTTTTCTAGAACAAATCTCTTTATATTCTAAGCTTTTATATGAAAAGACTAAAAACTTGGAGGACAATATTGAACGTCTAGAATCCGGTTTACTTAAACTAGCTTCAACTTCTGAAGAAGTAGACGGTTTGAAAGAAGTGTTGGCAGTCCAGGAAGTAGAATTAAATGAAAAGAATGAAGCTGCCGGCAAATTGATTGCTGTTTTAAGCGCTGAAAACGAAAAAGTTGCAAAAGAACAAGCAATTGCTAGCGAGGAAGAAGCCAAAGTCAAAGAAATTGAAGAGGATGTAAGTGTTAAACAAAAAATTTGTGCCGATGATTTAGCAAAAGCTGAGCCAGCCCTAATTGCAGCCCAACAAGCTTTAAATACACTGAATAAAAACAATTTAACTGAATTGAAGTCTTTTACTCAACCACCGGAAGCGGTAGTTGCTGTAACTGCTGCAGTATTAATCCTGTTTTCTCCAAAAGGCAAAATTCCGAAAGATCGTAGCTGGAAATCTTGCAAGGGGATGATGACAAGAGTTGACAAATTTTTAGAAGATCTAATAAATTATGATAAAGAAAATATGCAACCAGAAGTTGTAAAAGCAACTCTGGAATATACGAAAAACCCCGAATTTAGTCCGGAAAAAATTTTGAGCAAATCGGTGGCAGCTGCAGGATTGTGTGCATGGGTTATCAATATTTTGAAGTTTTACGATGTGTTTGTTGTGGTTGAGCCTAAGAGGAAAGCTTTGCAAAAAGCTAACCAAGAATTGGCAGAAGCAAGAGCAAAATTAGCCGAGCTTAATGAGAAATTGAATTATCTAGAGTCACAATTGGCGATTTTGAAAGCCGATTTTGAGGAAGCTACTGCTGCGAAGATGAAATGTCAGGCTGAAGCTGATGCAACGACTCAAATGATCGATTTGGCAAATCGACTTGTTAATGGTCTCGCGTCGGAAAATATCAGGTGGAGAGAGTTGGTGAAATTGTATCGAAAAATGATAATTACATTGCCGGGAGATGTGTTGATGATAACTTGTTTTATTTCATACGTTGGTTGTTTTACGAGACGATACAGAACAGAGATGGTTGAACATCATTGGTTACCATCGCTGAAAAAAATCGAACCGAAAATTCCAATGAGTGAAGGTTTGGATCCTTTGTCGTTGCTCACAGATGATGCAATGGTTGCAGCGTGGAATAATGAAGGGCTTCCTAATGATCGTATGTCAACCGAAAATGCTTGTATTTTAACAAATTCAGCAAGATGGCCGCTAATGATAGATCCTCAATTGCAAGGTGTTAAATGGATCAAAACTAAGTATGGTGACAGCTTGACTGTTATTAGATTAAGTATGAAGAATTATTTGGACACTATTGAAAGATGTATTCAAAATGGGGAAATTATTCTTGTGGAAAATATAGGAGAAACTGTGGACGCGGTCTTAGATCCTGTTCTTGGACGAGTTTTAATCAAAAAGGGCAGAGCGATAAAAATCGGTGATAAGGAAGTGGATTATAATCCCAACTTTAGGATGATTATGCATACGAAATTGGCTAATCCTCATTACAAACCAGAAATTCAAGCACAGACTACTCTCATTAATTTCACAGTAACTCGAGATGGTTTAGAGGAGCAACTTTTGGCAGAAGTCGTAAAAGCGGAACGTCCGGATTTGGAAACGTTGAAGGCAAATTTAACTAAACAGCAAAACGATTTCAAAATTATTTTGAAAAGATGTGAAGATAATTTGTTGTTCAGACTTTCATCGGCTACTGGTAATATACTGGGAGATGTAGAACTAGTCGAAAATTTGGAAACTACCAAAAAAATGTCTACAGAAATTGAAGAAAAAGTCAAAGAAGCTAAAATCACTTCAGTCAAAATCGATGAAGCTCGTGAACAGTACCGACCATGTTCAGCAAGAGCTTCTCTTCTTTATTTCATTTTAAACGATCTTTGCCGCATTAACGCAATTTATCAATTTTCATTGAAAGCCTTTAGTGTGGTATTCAAAGATGCGTTATCTAAAGCAGAACCGGCTGAAAAGTTAAAGGATCGAGTAATCAACTTACTGGACAGTATATCTTTTTCGGTATTCATGTATACAACTCGAGGTCTATTCGAATGTGACAAGTTAATTTTTATGGCCCAAATGGCGTTCCAAATTTTGCTACACTCTAATGAAATCGATCATGCCGAACTCGACTTTTTATTACGATATCCTGTAGTACCAAATTTGACATCTCCTGTGGACTTCCTCACGAATCAATCTTGGGGCGGCATTAAAGCCCTTTCAGAATTTGATGACTTTAGAGGTTTAGATAAAGATTTAGAAGGCTCGGCAAAACGTTGGCGAAAATTTGTCGATAGCGAATGTCCCGAAAAGGAGAAGTTCCCCGGGGAGTGGAAAAACAAAACCGCTTTGCAACACTTATGCATGATGCGTGCCCTACGACCTGATCGAATGACTTACGCAGTTCGTTGTTTTATTGAAGAAAAACTCGGATCAAAATATATCACAGCTAGATCCGTCGAATTTGCAAAATCTTACGAAGAGACGAGTTCTTCAACCCCAGTTTTCTTCATTCTATCGCCAGGTGTAAATCCGCTTAAAGATGTGGAAAAGTTGGGCAAAAAACTCGGTTTCACCTTTGATGCCGGGACTTTCCACAGTATTTCTTTAGGACAAGGGCAGGAAGTTGTCGCTGAAAGCGCAATGGATTTGGCGTCGGAGAGGGGCGATTGGGTGATTTTGCAAAATATTCATTTAGTTGAGCGATGGTTACCCATTTTGGAGAAAAAAATGGAACAATGCGCTGAAGGTGCTCATGAAAAGTTTAGGTTGTATTTGAGTGCTGAACCTAATGCTGATCCCCAAGTGTCTGTAATCCCACAAGGGATTTTAGAATCGTCGATTAAAATCACAAATGAGCCTCCAACTGGCATGTATGCCAACTTGCACAAAGCTTTAGATAATTTTAGTCAGGAAACTTTGGATATGTGCACGAAAGAAGCGGAGTTTAAAGTAATTTTGTTCGCTTTATGCTATTTTCACGCTGTGGTTGCCGAAAGAAGGAAGTTTGGACCACAAGGGTGGAATAGAAATTATCCTTTCAATGTAGGTGACCTCACTATTAGTGTAAACGTGTTATACAATTATCTAGAAAGTAACAACAAGGTAAGAGAAAAAAATTGATCCAAAATTTACAGTCATTTTTTATTAGATTCCTTACGAAGACTTGCGTTATCTTTTTGGGGAAATAATGTATGGAGGGCATATTACCGATGATTGGGATCGACGTTTGTGTCGAAATTATTTAATGGAGTATCTTCAACCCGAATTGTTGGAAGGGGACTTACAGTTTGCGCCAGGGTTTTATGCTCCACCAAACACAGATTACGTTGGATATCATCGTTATATTGATGAGCGTTTGCCACCTGAAAGTCCCTACCTTTATGGTCTTCATCCAAATGCAGAAATCGGCTTTTTGGCATACACTTCTGAAGTTATGTTTAGAACAATTTTTGAAATGCAACCTCGAGATGCTGGAGCTTCTGTGGGCCATGGTTTTTCTCGAGAAGACAAGGTAACGTCTTAACTAATTTTATATTAGTTAGAATTTTCGTTTAGGTTAAATCGACTCTTGAAGATATTCAAGACCGGCTTCCTGACGAGTTTCCAGTTGCTGAAATGATGGCAAAAGTCGAAGATAGAACTCCGTACATAATCGTCGCTTTCCAAGAATGTGACAGAATGAATAGTTTAACGAGAGAGATGAAGAGATCGCTTCGGGAATTAGATTTGGGGCTTAAAGGTGAACTTACCATTACGTCAGACATGGAAGTCTTGGAAGAAGCCTTATTTATGGACCAAGTCCCTGATTCTTGGTCTGTCAAGGCTTACCCCAGCATGTTACCTTTGGGTCAGTGGGTGGGCGACTTGGGAGCTAGAATTAAAGAACTGGAAGGATGGGTTACCGATTTTTCGATGCCTCCCACAGTCTGGCTGGGAGGTTTTTTCAATCCTCAGTCGTTTCTTACAGCCATTATGCAACAAACTGCTCGTAAAAACGAATGGCCTTTGGACAAAATGTGTCTTTTGACTGACGTCACCAAAAAGCAGAAAGAGGAATTCGGGGCGGCACCTCGAGAGGGAGCATATGTGCACGGTTTATTTATGGAGGGCGCAAGGTTAGGACATATAAATTTATTCAAATAGAAAATAAATTAAATTGAGTGAATATTTGAACTAGCAAGTATTAACTAACAATGAATTGTCTGTGAAATCCGATTGAGTGAAAATTATTAATTTAATAGGCCGTAATTTATGCAAATGCGATTATTCGTTTGAATAAGCGATTGTCGATAACAAAATTCTATATGGGGGGTAAAAATGTTAAATGATTTGTGCATGATGTGTTACAGGTGGGATACTCAGCTCGGAAGTATTGCTGATGCTAAGCTTAAAGAATTGTTCCCTGTAATGCCGGTTATATTCATCAAGGCAATCACACAGGATAAACAGGATTTGCGGAATATGTACGATTGTCCTGTTTATAAAACAAGGACGCGAGGACCGACTTTCGTCTGGACTTTTAATTTGAAAACAAAGGAAAAGGCGTCGAAATGGACCCTTGCCGGAGTTGCGATTCTGTTACAAATTTAATTTATTTATTTTACACTGTAGCTGTTAATAAAATTTTATCTTAATTTATTTTATCTTCTATTGTTACTTGCTACGTCCTAAAAATGAAGAAGTATTATTATTTCAGACACTTGAGGTTATTTTAAAACAGTTCAGTTTCCATTTTTGCTCTTTCCTTTTTAATATTAGCCTCGTTATAAGCCCGAGCAATATTTGCGAAGTGGATTACCTTTCAGTGGCAAAATGGCGTCATCTGTCCGTTTTTATTTAAAAAACGTTCTTGCGAGACGATGTAATGGAATAAATTGTCGGTGGCTTGGTATACTCTCGGAAGCGTTTAGGTGATCGAATTTTGTAATGAAATCAATTATTAAGATGAGGTGTTGTTCGCGGCGCGAAACTTCTGGATGGCATTCGAATTCCGTTCCATATTTATGGGTGCGACGCCCTGCATCGGCCAAAAGCGCGCATCCCTCACCGTTGTATTCGCTCGGGAATTGTGCGTACATTGTTAATTCAACGATATAATACGCGAATTTGCCTACAAATTACCACCTACCCTTCCAGAACCAGTTAAATACGTTAGTTTGCGCTAGAAATGTTGCCGAGTAAATTGCACAACTTGCTGATTTATCGGTCTTTCCACTCGATGCAGTTTTCTTCAAAAGTCGATGCATATTTTAGCCAAATCATAAATTTATGCTACGATTTGATACTTGGAAATGTTTGTACAAGCTTTTTTAGCTGGTTTCAAGCTAAATTACACATCCGCTTTTATACAAAATTCTAAAAAATCTCAAGGGATAACGACATTTCCGACATATTGAAGTGCATTCAACAAGCTACTATTTTTAGAAGCATGAACCATAAAAACCTATTTTGTAATTACTTTTACGTAGTGAATAATACGACATTGGAACTGTCTTTATTTGAACCTATGTTGGTTCTTCAAGAATTAAAAAAATAGGTAAGAGAAAGGTTATGGGAAAAAATAAAGTCTAGTTAAAAACTTCAGGGTAATATGACGTTTCAGTGGTACATTTCCATTTTCTTCAGGTATAAAGGATAAAAAACGTGTCTAAAATTGACGACACTGCTACACACGTGAACTTTATTTTTTCCCATAACCTTTCTCTTATCAATCACAGTCCGAAAAATTACAACTTTAAAAAAAAATAGGTGTATTATTTCAATTTATTCAGAATTTCTGCATTTTATACAAATTATTTTAGAACATTACATTATTTTAGATACGTTATTGTAAATAATTTATTAGAAAATATACTAACACAAAATCAGCATTTATTATTTTGTCGTACTTATGGTGCTTACGTGATAATCAAAATTAACAATTTGCATAAAATATGTATCGAATGCGTGTGCCGTGGGAAATAATTTATACGTCATCTGTTTGCACGTAATCAAAATTTAATGAAAAATTACTATAAATCATATTTTACTTTAAATAAAATTTATTGAAATTAACTCTAATTCAAGCACCGCATCGTTGGCTAATTGCTACGTATATTTTTACAAGAAACAATAAAAAACAGGTTAATAGAACAATTAGTCTAGGGGTTGCAATTAACCTTAACTATGCACTTTTACATAAAAACGCATATAAGTGGCTACTTAATTTCTGCAGTGATATGACCTCCTTCTACACCCTTTTTAATATATTAAAATCGCAAAGGTTGGTTTTATATTGAAATTAAAAAAATGAATTAATTGACCTCATTGAGCAATCTTTGGTTTTACTTGTATTTGAAACATTTAAAATGTGCATTAATATCCATAACTAAGCAACTGCCCAAAGCACAACTTTCGATAAAATTTGTGCAAGTGGTCTGGAAGAAATATTTAAATTTAAATGTTACAAATTATGTAAAAAACAAGCTCTGGCGTTACGTTTGTGCCAAAATAACTGAATCCCTGGCACAACTGACGATTTCATAAATATGTATGCAAAGCTCCATGAAAAATGTTCATAAATAATTCATCTGGCTCAAAATTTAACAGTATCTTTTAAAGGCCTCATTGTTTCTTGTCGCAATAAATCAATAAATATGTAATCAGAAGTTTGCACAAAAAGATTTTAGCGTTTGTCCGGTAATATATTTGATCGCAACTGCTGCAGTTGCACCACTTTTGGAGTTATTCTTCAAGTGTTGAAACAAAATCACCGTTTGCCCACCCCAAGTCAGGTGCTTACAGCCAAACTTGGAACAAACTGTCTGCATGAGATAAAGCACTGTTTTCCAGAGCAGAATCAATTCTCATATGTTCCTATGAGCACAGCGTGTCTATGAAATAAAATTTTATTAACAATTTACATGTAGAGATACTGACAAACCTGCAAGGTAAACATGGTTTTAATTAGATTCGATTTAAGTTTATTGGTAGTTTAAGTGTACGAGACAGTTAAGCACAACTTTGTAACAATGCTGGCTGAAAAAATAAATTGTATTTTTGCAGTACCGTTGCAATCAACTTCTTGTAACACTTTAACAGTTGCGGTAAATGAGATAATTAAAACACGAACGCTCTTAGAATATTGGCGGCTCTGCAGGAGTTAACACAAGCGATGTTGGTTTATTATAAGCGATGACGAATTGTTCTCTTGGGCATTTTGTCTCTAGAGACTTTAATTATAAAGCTTGAAAATTGAAACTTTCGCAAAATGATTTGTTTTCGTACAATCATCATCGATCCGGGGCTACCTATTCAGAAAATGAAATTACACAGATTTTCACTCCTCCAACTCTCTCATATTTTTCTCAAAAGTTCTCAATTGAGCTTGGGAAATTAATCAGTATAGCCTATACACAATAAGAAGAGGTTTAATAAATAATGCCGATACGAAAGACAAAGACTATGGATTTCTCACAGACACGACATGAAAAATGGTATTTGGGGACGGCTCCCCCTTATTGCTTTCTGGTCCAATAAAATGCATAATAGAGTTATGTTGCATAAATTTGATTCCTTGTCTTCTTTCCCCAAAGCAAAAATGGACAATTCTAAAGTAGGTTTTTTTACTTCCAAGTGTCTTAAAAGGAGAAAACAAGTTTTACCAAGAAGAAACACCTATGTATTTCTTTCCTTTTTTTATGTGATTAATTTGTGTACGGTCACGATTTTATTTATTTAAACTACTTTTGGATTTATGTTTTTACAAAAAACAGCATAACAAATAAATGGGATTTTTTATCCCATTCATTTATTATCATTTTGCCTGTGGATCTTTAAGATAAAAATAACTCTAAATATTTAAATAATCCCTGAATCAGCTTTCTTATTTTTCTCCATATGCTGAAAATATATGAACATCTGAGAGAGAAGACAAGTCATTCATAATAAAAGTAGGAGGTATATTATGTAAGGCTGTAAAAAGTGTTATCAAAGTAGCTTATTCTTTTTATGAATGGTAAATGTGGATATTAAAGACATTGGAAGATAAAGTTAGATGAAGCTCTTGAAACAGTAACAATTCATGTGTCACGTCTTTTTAAAAATTGATTGTCGCAAATTCTGCCGTTTTGTAACGCAGTCATTTTTTTTGTCTTAAAAATATTTTGGAACAGATTCCGTAAACTTGGATTTATAAAGATACGACAGGATCTCAAGTATTGGAAAAACCAATAAAGTAAATCATACAAGTTTGAAATTATTAACATGCAAACTCTACTTAAGAAAATTGAAAGCGGGATTTGTTTGTCACAAAAACAAGGTAATGCTTTTTGGAATGATTATTATTAAAAAGTAGCTCTATGATAACAAAAAAAGTTTTTAATCAAAAATTTAATTGAGAATATTCAAAGCTTCTAGTTTTCAATTTATGTATAATTGGTGTCACGTGTAAATTTCGAGGTAACATTTCAATTACATGCGCGATTCGGTTGGTAATTGCAGATAGTAGTTGTCTGTGTTCACAAAATGAACAAATAGTATCATGATCATGATACAATAAAAAAATTGTTTAGATTAAAGGAGATGGACTCGAGCAAAGGGTAAAAACTAGGTACCAACAGATTTTCACAAATCTAATAAGTATTTTAATTTTCAATAAAAAACACAAAATTTATGAGTAAGATTTATTCAAAAACCTACAATTTTTGGTTATTCTACTTATATATACATATGACAATATTATAATTATTAATTCATGCTGGTCTTGGTCAAATTAAATTTTATTAATGTTTTTGGCTTTAACTACAATTGTTTTCTCAAAAAATTTCAAAGAAATTCTATGGATTTATCCATTTATCATTTATTGTTAGATGTAAGGTAAAACTTCGACCACAGTGTATAGTAGGTACACTAAATATATAAAGTTCTAAATAGTTATAATACGTATTTGTGTTTAGTTCAGTTTGCGTTTTCACCTAAATTAATATCTACATTAATGTATTAAATACATGTTAGTTTAATGAGAGTACTTAGTTGTGTTGATTGTTTCACTCAACTCATAATCACTGTCAAAGTTTCAAGTTGTAAAGGTTCTACTTATTAAGTTATTGATTTTAAATAATTAGGAAAGTTTTGAATGCATCTGCTTGAATACCGGTAACATTGTGTCAATATTGTTATTAAATAGATACTCAGTAAATTAGAAAAAATAAATAAAAAATGTGCTTACTTGTAAAATATTTTTTTTTTTCATTTGGTTATAATACTAATCTATTTATATTCTTTGTATTATTTTGTTATAAATTGTATGACATTAACATCGAATAATATCCCTCTACACTATAAATTTTAATCCAGAAGTAATACCTACTGCAATTTATGTATTTATAATAGATACAAATGGATGGGTAAGTAAATATTTTAAATATCAAAACAAAAATTTGTTAAATGACAAAAAAAATTATACCAATGGTCATGGTTGGCTTGAAAACCCTAATCCTCAAAGGGCCGCTACAAGAGCAAGCTTTGTGAGATTCGACCCTGATGCAAATTGCCAAAGTCTCACAAGCAGCCATCATGAAGCGGGTTTAGTTTATATTGCAATAGTGTCTTTATCACTATCATTATTAATTGGTATTCACGATGGGGCTTAT